GTGCTGCCAACCCTGCTCCAGCAGCTGTGTCTGTCCCGTGCCGAATGACTGATGATCCCAGTCAGCGGCGGGCGGGCTTGGTACAAACTCGGACAGCGGTTTGCACTCTGTCCGAGTGCAGTTTGAGAGCGGTGGCCCCCGTTGCGTGATGGGTCTGAACGTCATTAGTGGCCGCTCTCCGGAGAACAGGTGTAGTCGGGTACTCTGTTTTGAGCCGTACCGTGGGAACTGGACTATCCCGAGTTGGTCGCCTTTGGACACTGCGGTCGCACTTCATTCTCTGCATCTATACGGTGCATTTGTCCCGTGTAGTTGAAGATGATAATCTGACGGTGGCTCTATTTTGTACTGCGTGTTGAACAGGTGGTCAGTGAACAGGTGTGTGTGCGTCATGTCAGCGGTCGATGGTCCAAACAGGTGTGTCGGCCGCCCAGTGTGCGTGTGGAGGTCACGCTAACGGATGACGTCACGGACAAGTGACGTCATGGTCCAGCCGGCTGGTGGCATGGGAGTTGGGCGGGTGGTTGTCTCGTCCGGCGCCGGGTTAGTGGTTAAGCCATGGTTGCACCAACTGCTGGTGCTGGTGGGCACTGGCGGATCCAGGGGGGGGGGCCACCGGGGCCATGGCCCCCCCCAAAAGCCTGAAAGGGGGGGCCAACATATCTTTTGGCCCCCCCCAAAACGCTTGGAGAAAAATTAATGTGAGAAGGTTGCGTAGTAGATACCTACTAGAATCAGCAGCGTGATTCAATAGCGTAGAGAAAGTCAGGGGCGCGGGAACTACTTTCAGACTGGGGGAGCACACCATAATAGAGATCAACCTAGGGTCCCCCCAAATCTAGTTTTCTCACCGGTTTTAGGCCACTTATTTTTCATCCCTTGGCTTTTTCAACAAAAAAAGAAACAGTTGCAAAAAAGGACGGTATTCCGTTTGAAAGTTGTGGGGGCACCGCCCCCACTGGCGGATTCAAGGGGGCCACCGGGGCCATGGGCCCAAAAAGCCTGAAAGAGGGGGCCAACATATCTTTTGGCCCCCCCAAAACGCTCGAAGAAAAATTAATGTGAGAAGGTTGTGTAGTAGATACTTACTAGAATCAGCAGCGTGATTCAATAGCGTAGAGAAACCCAGGGGCGCGGGAACTACTTTTAGACGGGGGGGGGGGGGGGGGGGAGGTCACACCATGATAGAGATCAACCTAGGATCCCCCAAATATAGTTTTCTCGCCGGTTTTAGGCCACTTATTTTTCATCCCTTGGCTTTTTCAACAAAAAAAGAAAACATTTGCAAAAAGGAGCGGTATTCTGTCTGAAAGTTGTGGGGGCACCGCCCGCACGGCCCCAGAGTTGGGGGGGGGGGGGGCAAGTTGCCACCACTGCCCCCTCCCCCCGGTTCCCGCGCCTATGGAGAAACTACCGGGTTTACTAGCTTCCTTCATAAAGTGTCGTCATGTCTTATCGTCACCCGAGAAGGTCTTATTGCATAAATATCGATTGAGCTGTCAAGTTAACAAACTTGCTGTGGCAGCCTGACCTGACATGACCCGGCAACTTTTCATTCACGGAATATGCGCAATAAATTTTTTAGGAAAACTCATTGAGTTTTCGTTGAAAAAACTTGTTTTGTTTCGCAATTGTACAAGAAGCATATGAGGGACCTTTTTGTCCCTTCCTGCGAAACGGTAAAAGACTTATTTCGGTCACAGCTCAGGCCAATCTCTAAGGGTCAGTCGGGTCACTTATTTCTTAAAAGGGTCCTTACGGCATCCAAGGACCAATTCCGGCTTTTGAGTGCGCCACATCAGCATTTGATGCTACGACAGATGTCGAAATCTGAAATATATGTTACAGGCCGTATGAAAATTCGGTCCGTTTGCAAACGGCCTGGCCCAGTCAGGCCATATGAAACTACCTGAAAACACCTGCCGTTTGCAAACTATGACCTGAAATATCAGACCGTTTGAAAACGACCTAGTTAGTTTCGGCCTAGCGGATCCAGGGGGGCCACGGGGTCATGCCCCCAAGCCTGAAAGGGGAACAACATATATTTTTTGTCCCCAAAAACACTTAAGAAAAATGAATGTGAGAAGGGCGTAGTAGGTAGAGAGAAAATACCGTATCATTAAAAATCTGTGAGCTTGATAAAAGTGTTGGTCTTGTCTTCACCCAAGAAGTTCTTATTGCACACTTTAACCATGGATGAAAGAACCTTCATCCCCTGGTTCTCCTTCATCCATGCTTTAACTCTCGATCGACGTGTGAAGTTATCGTGTAAGGTATCATGAAGCCGATCGCGACGAAACTTTAGTACCCTCATGGTGACAGAGTCTGAAAATTTAATGACCCTGACCCAAGTGAACTTTGACTTGTGGCCTATTTCTCGAGACTGTTTGGCCATGTTGGAGGCCATGTTTGGCCGGAATAGCGATTCGGCATATGTCGGCTCACATTATCCGCGCTTTTATAGTCTTTTCGTGGTTTAAAACGCTCAAACATGTGATATGATGTTGCTCCCACGCATTAGGGCGGATGCCAATGTCACCTTACGGTCAAGTCAGGTCATTGACCTTTGATGACCTCGGTGCACTTTTCCGAGTTTAACATGTTTCTAGGATAGTTTCGTTTAGCTGAGTTTGAATTTAGCATTTTGCAGCCATTTGAACATTTACGAAGTAGTTTTGATGCCTTCGTATCATGTTACGTAGCTGCCAGTGGTAGTGGACACCTGCTATACGGACGCCCATAAGTACTCCTACTGGTTGATCTGACCTGACCTGCCCCGACATGGTCTAAACGCATGAAGACATTATCTATGATCCAAACTAACATGAAATTTGTGATCAGCACAAAAAAAAAACGTATTACAGCCTTACTTTAGGAGGTTCTGACAGGTCCTGATTTTCCCGTCTTTTGGGTCTGTGACCTGACCTGCAGGCGGTGTTTCACGGCACGCTGCCAGCCGCTGCCAGCGCTGATGGCACTTTTGGTTTCAATGGAGACATCAACAAGCCTATACCCACAACACTCCCGAAGGCTGACCTTAGCTCGCGGAATGCGCTGTCAGCGGCTGTCAGCACGACCGTGAAACACCGCCCTGGAAGGTCAACCAATGACCAAGGACCTTAAAATCGGGTATCATCGGCTTCGTCTCGTCACTCACGGGCAACACGCCTGTTTTTTTTTCCGCGAGCTCTAGCTTAATCAGGGGCCGAACGGCAGGGGGTCCAACCGACACCTCCCAGCCCGCGAAGGCTGCGCCACGCACCGACCCGGAGCGGGCTAATTGGTCGACAAAAGCAATTTGAAGTGTTTTCAAAGTAATATTTAGGCTCGGGTTGGGTGGGCTACCATTTCTATTTTTTTTTTTTAGTTTAAAAAAAATATCGTTTCAGGGCTGTGACGAAAAAATAAGTGGCCTAAATCCGATGAGAAAACAGGATTTGGGGGTACCCTAGGTTTGGTTACTTGCAGGAGTTGGCCCCCCCCCCAAAACGCAAGTCTGGATCCGCCAGTGCTGGTGGGCCACTGCTGCTGGTGTGTTGCTGGTGCTGGTGCCGTGTCGCGATGCTGCTCTGTCAGTGAATCGGTTTGTTCCATGTTGACATGCTGTTCTTCGGCTGTTTGTTTACAAACCATTATAACGTGCCGATTGAATCCCTCGCTCGTTCGTCCTGCAGTGTCTGTCCTCCTTGGCCACCCGGTCTGCTGGTCCGTGTCACTCCGGTCACCCGGTGACACGCGGTGTCACATCGTCCGGCCAAATTGCGCCCATTGTCGGCCGTCACCGCTCTGCCTAATTGGTCCTCTCCAGCTCCCCCCTCTCCCTGCCGGGGAGAGCTCTCTCTCTTCTGCGGCGCGTGCGCCCGTTGTCTGTGTCGGCCGCTTTATGGAGTGATACAATTACCGATAGGGCTGTTCGCGCTCCCCCGGGGGCTGGTCTGCGGGAGGACGGCGCGCAGGGAGGGGACACTGACAGTGATAGTCGCGCGATGAATTCGCCGGGGGTGGGGGAGGAGGGGTGTGGCCGATCAGTCCGCTGATAGCCACAGAACGGCCGGCCGTTTGCCGAGCGGTATCGTGATGGGCGACGATAAACGGTAATAGACCGCCGGCCGCTCCGCTCTGCCTTTGAATCTCGGGGAACGATTTGCGGGTGAAATAGTGGATGCATATTAGGGACGTGGTTTATTGTGTAGGCACGATGGTTCTTTTCCTTGTTCCACGTTATCTTTTCCGTCTGCACCGTCACACTATCGCACTTTATTACCTTTTCACGCTATATGCTAATCTATTCTGACCGGATGTCAGATGTCAAACTTGCTTAGTTTGATCATACTGGAAGTTGTAAATGTAAGAGAAGAATGCGAAAAACGCCCGCTGTAGTTTCCCTTCGGGCTTTCAACATTTTATGCTTTTAAGTAGACTGACGAGCGTTTCGTGCGGCGGGTAGTTTTGATGGGCGCTCACCAGTTACGGTCCGGCATTCAACCATCGCCATGGCTGTAACTATCGCCCGACTGATTAACAACAAAGTCCGCTGTTTTTGTTTGCCGTCTCCTGTCTGCTGTCTATCGTCCGCTGTCTGTGGCCTCCTGTCTGCTGTTTGTAATCCGCTGTCTGTTGACTGCCGTCCCCTGTCTGCTGTCTGCTGTCTGTCGTCTGCCTGCCCTACCGCCGCTGTCTCGTGTGCTGTCCGTTCCGCGCCGTCGTCCGCTTCATGTTGCTCGCTGTGCTGTGTCCGCATTCTGGCTATTCGACCCAAGATTGCAACCGGTGTGGGACTGCCGCAAAAGCCACTCACTTCAGTTCTTTACGTATCACCTCACTATCAACTGTCTGATGTGTACGTTGAGTGTGCTTTAGTATGTACACTTGACAATGTGATGGTGGACGCAAGATTACTTTACTACTCAGTACTCTGTGGACGGACTCAACAACAGGAGTGGTCTCGCGACGACAGCGCCTTGGCGGCTGCTGACCAGAATCTCTCGTTCCGCCGGCAGATCAGAGATGGCGCTGACGCTGCGGGTCCGCATAGAGGACCGGAATGTGGTGAAGGCGATGAAGTTCGAGCCGAACACGGCCGTGCTGGACGCCTGCCGCATGATCCGGGAGCGTCTGGCCGACACCACGGATATCTCCAACCGTGAGTACCGGGTGGGGGCGTCCTCACACCCTCCGGCAGTCTCAGGGGCGACGGGCGAGACGGGTCACACCGCCAGTCTGAGGCCCCACCGGCCGTCCGGCGGAGGCGAGCAGGCGGCTCACATCGATTGCCGAGCTGCCGAGACAAAACACTCCGGTAATTGAGTTGGTTAAGGGGCTGGTAAGCGATGTCGTTTGTTGGTGGGTATTGATCTGGCGGTGGGACGCCGGCAGAGCTGGGGAGGGGAGGGAGGGGAGAGGGTGGCCGGGGGAGCGCCCCGATCAGTGGTCCGTAAACACGGTGGCGGCCCCAGCCGGGGATCGCCCTGCCCCTCAGTAAAAACTGTATTGTGCTACCGTTACATATCGGAGGATACTCTACGCTGGATATACCAGTATAGCGCCTTTTGGGGCGACTAACGGAGCGAGCGAGGGGGTGAGTCTTGCACGTGCGAAATTTCGAGGGGGTACCTCCAACTGACTTGTGCACGGCACCCTACTGACCGGTTTCTAGCGATGTGCCAAATTTGAGCACAATCGGCCCAGCCGTTCTCGAGATCTGGGAGCGGCACCTGCACGTGCGCACGTGCAAAATGGGTCCCAACTGACTTGTGCACGGCACCCTACTAACTGGTCCCTAACCGTGTACCAAATTTGAGCGCCATCGGTCCAGCCGTTCTCGAGATCTGGAAACGACCCCTGCACGTGCGCACGTGCAGCAGCACCCCAACTCTGGCACATGGATATGCAGTGCCTAGTGGGTGCCTACCTACATGCCAACTTTGAGCGCAATCGGCCAAGTAGTTACCGAGATATTGCAACAATTACAAAACTGACACCTCTTCGTTTTGCACGTGGCACGTGCATAAGGGGTCACCCACATGCATCGGGAATAGTCCAATACTTGGTAGAAGGAATGAAGCTACCCTACAAAAATTACCGCGTGTAAATCGGTCAAGTGGTTGCTGAGATATAAGCCTCGCAAAAGCGTCCGCACGGCCGGCCGGCCGGCCGGCCGGCCGCTCATACTCAGAAATTTCCGTTAATCTAAGTAAAGACTCCGCTCGCTTCGCTCGCTCCGTAATTATTTCATAGGTTTGTAGTCTGCGTGACGTGGTAGCAAACTGATGAGAAAGCTACATCTTCTTACTGGTTTAATTCGTTGCGTGCTGACATAATCCCACCGGACATTCTAGGAATTCTCGAGATACGAATAGGTTCGTCAGACGAGCGAGCGCACAATGGAATGTGATTCACTTTATGTAGCTTTTGTCGCCGAGAAAAGACAGATACTCGAGACGGTGATCTTTGTTTTGTCTATCGATTATTTCAACACAAGCCTGTCATGCTCACGACCAGACCGGTTATAGATTTGCTAAAGTGACTGTTTCCTTATTTAAGAGCCGATGATATGGCACTTAGTCACGGTTACCTACAGCGTAACAGTTACGGCTCTATTTACACAGTATGTACTCTGAGCGGTTCGAAGCGATCGATTGCAGTCGGGGCACAATTGAATCAGCTGATTTCTCTCCGCGCGGTGGAAGCGGCGCAATGCCGCCGTGCGCGTCTCACTGTGTCCAGGAAAACAGGAGTGAGAGGTGCCATTGAATATGAAATGCCGTAATTGAAAAATTCGATAGAGCGCTAAGGCATTTATGGGGACGAGAAACGTTAGCTTTAGGCGAGAGGTGTTAGGACAATGAGAACAGACATCGACAGTGTCATAGCCGTTACAGCTGACAGACCACTCAAACGGCGCAGCAATCTCACACTGTTCTGTGGAGAGGCGGTTCCACGGTCGTTCTTTATTAAATGCTGTCTGTCTGCTTTCAGATAAGGACTTTGGGCTGTTCTTCTGGGACGAGGAGACCAAGAAGGGCTTTTGGCTGGAGCCCGGCCGCACACTCGAGTACTACCTGCTCAAAAGCGAGGTGAGTCCCACTATCTGCACATCTCCGGAATATGTACGCAGCTGAGAAGAAATTATCCCCCTTTGATAAGATGTGATGAGCCTTGTGTCAGTGCTTCGTCGTGTCAAATTATAATCTGAATCACTTTACATCACTGAAACTCCGGATTAGGTGAACGGAAGGCACCACGGAACTCCGCTGCGGCTGTTATAAAGCCGCCGGATTGAACCTTGATGTCTGAGGCCACTGGGCTGTTTGAAACTCGGCGGAGAATGAGTCATCACCGAGGTGGGGCCGCTCCTCAGAAGATTTCCTCTCGACCGAGCGACCAACTTGAATAGATGGTGCCGCCGGGGCGGGCGCGTCTGGCGCCCGACTCTGCTCTTTGTCTCGTGGCTAGTGAAGTTTCACCGGCGGCCGGCGGCTGGCTCAAATTATGTGTCATTTCGCCACACACTGTTTTACATAGTTTATCAAATCAAGCTCCGTGAGAGGCAGCACTACGGTGTCCGGTTTGAATAGCTCGTTAAAGTCGGTCTCGTGGGTGGAAATGAATTCAGAGCTCGTCCCAGACCGGTGTCGAGGGGGCAGTTCCGCTTGCCACAGCTCTGAGTACTGTCGGCGGCTTTGGCGTCAGTGCCACTGATGCACCACGGGGCGTCTGTGTGCTTTTATGTGAGAGATCGTTCTTTGATCACGACGACATCCGGATCTATCTGCGTGCCGGCGCGCACGGGGCCGTCTCGTGCCGACCGGTCGGTCGTTGGCAGTCGGCACGGCCGGGCACACCCGTTCATTGCCCGCCATGTACTGAGTCTGACGGAACGGCGAGGATTATCGAGCATGGTGTGGCCGGGGCCGGGCGAGGTGCCTTGGGGTGCTGGCAAGGGATGTTTCAGTGTATACTGACGGTGGATGGAGATATCCGACGTTCTAGAATGGCTTGCTGGTTGATATGATGAATCTCCCTTAGAGCGGACCACGTACGGAAATTGCCGGCCGGAAATTGTCGGCTCGGAAGTATCGATGCCGTATATGGCACGCGGGGGCCGCTCGGTGCCGCCGTTATCTCGCCGGGGCTCTTTGGCACCGACTGGGCCGTCGCGGCCGGTGCGCTACAAAGAGATGAGCGGCTGCGGGGCGGCCTGGCCGGCCGAGCGGAGCCGGGGGAGGCGGCGGGGAGCGGCGCGCAGATCGATAGCTCCCAGTCGCGTCGACGCCAGCGGCGGCGGCTCCTCTCCGGCGGCGGCGGGCGTCCAGTGACGGCGCGGCGGCGGCGCGGCCCGCCGGCGCCGCGCGTGGCTCCCGGCCGGCGCTGCTGCGGCTGGTGGTCCGCCGACCGAGCCAGTCAGCCGCGCCCACAGACAGTCAGCGGGGCGCGCCCAGAGGACAGTCACCGGGACCGCGCTGTGGCTGTCTGTGTGTCCCGGCCCGGTCACCGCCGGGAGACTGGCAGTGCTCCGTCTGCCGCCGCTGGAAATCGGTCGGTCGGGGCCAATCTGCAGCATATGGTGGTGGAGGCCGGTCGGCGGCAGCTGGTCTGCTCCTCTACGCTGGCAGGGATGGCTCCGGAACTAGGAGGTAGGAAGGGAGCGTCGGGGGGCATTGGGCTGTGCAACTACGCAGAAATGAGGGTGTGGAGCATAGTGGTCATCCACCGGCATTCCCTTTATGTGTGAGTGCGCGGAATGGGGCTAGATATGCATAGATTTACATCACAGGATTTAAAGTTGACAAAATGCACGGTCATATTTGAGTTCATCGCTCTGATGGTATCTGGCGCCTTTTTTGAAATTGACAAAATGCAATCTGTGAAATGCTTCGACTAGGAAGCTGATTGTCCTAAAAGTTAATGTTTATCAAAGTTCGTTGCAGAGTTTCATCAGTTCTTATTTATTTGCGTGTGATGTCGAAACGCCGCTCTGCGGAGTAACTATTTTATCTTCATATTGCAGCGCTTATCTCACGTCTGAGAAATTTGATAATCTGACAGGAATACCTACCAATATTTGCGTTTGTTTATGCGATTCAGTGCCATCTTATATTAGTTATGTTGGTGTACCTTCAGTTGAGTTTCTGCACCTAGTTAAAATATTGCAAATGCGTTGAGCTGCAAGATAAGCAAGTGCGTTGGACCGAAAGGTGGGGTCATTGAACCTACCGTGCTGTTCCTTTTTCTGGCTCGTTGATGCTCCCTTGCGGCACATCACATCTGGCTCTCTGTTCCTCACGGAACAGAGAGGTTGGTTTCAGGCCAACCTGTACGGTGCAGGCGCTGACGATCTGGTGGTCGAGTGTCCTTACAAAGTTACAATCTGCTGTCATTATTCCGGCTTACCAACGCTGCCATTTGGGTGCCTACTGGGAGTAGTCACGAGCACGGTTCCAGTTTGCATGGTGCACTGTGCAGTCACAGGGACGTTGTCCCGTCTCTAGTAGGCGCATTGTGTAGGGAGTGGCCACGGGCACAGTTCCAGTCCGCAGGGTGCTGCTATGCACCGGGTCACGGTCCTGGCGCCGGGCCGCTGCTCGCAGGGCGCAGCTATGCGCTGGGGCGCTGCCCTCCCGGTCCGCGGGATGCAGTCACAGGGGCGCTGTCCTGGCGCCGTACCGTTGTCCACAAACCACAGGAAATGGCCACGGACACAGTTCCAGTCGGCATTATGCACTGTGCATCTATGCGCTGGAGCGCTGTTCGGGCTCGCTGTCTGCGCTGTGCGGCCACGGGGACGTTGTCTCGGCGCCGGTCCGTAGGGAGTGGCCGCCGGGTGCGGTCAGAGCCCAGCCTCCCTTCCGGCGGCGGAGTCTGGTGGCGCCCACTTCCGTTCCTTTGAATACCGTCGGCTGTTCGCGGAATCCAGGCGCACTGCGCCTCTGTCAGTTCCGACCGACGAGTCGCTCCTACAAAAACCCGGCTTTGATGTCAAGAGCGGACCAGAAAGAGACAAATTGGTGGTAATTGGATGTTTGGTACGCTGTCTTCTTACCATCAGTCGTGTTTGACGGGAATAATGCGGTGTCTTTCACTCTTGTAACATGCTCAGAACAAGTTCCCCGAATTTGTTTTGGGCTGAGCTCAGGTTTCTAGAAGGGGTCAAGTATGAGGTGCGATTTTTAGTCATTCCTCTGACCATGGGTGTCCCATGCCCTTGCCACCCGGGGAAAACATCGCGAACTGTGGTGGTGAATTGCGCCGGCCAATGCTGGGTGCGTTTTTGTCGCAGGTGGGTCAGTTTCAGTTTTGAGCTCCAGCGACTTCTGAGGACCGTACTTTTCAGAAGTGCCAAAGGATGTCACTGGAGTGTTTCGGGCGCATTTTCTTATCAGTTTCAGCCTCATTTTCCGTCTTCACATGGTCCCTCAAAATCCTAAATCCTCTTTGAGGATTTTGCTTGAATTTAATTTATGATTTTGCTTTTCTTTTTCTCTTCGAAACCGTTATGTAAGCAGCGATGATAAGTAGTTTGCTATGCTTTCTGTGGTGTGCTGCAACATTTTTTAAAGTTACATAAGGAATGGAGCATAAAACGTAAGTAAAAGATAAAGCGGAATTGTAAAACGATGATACCTACCTACACCTTCGCTGTTGCTAGTTTGTCTCGTTTTGTACGTGTAAGCTAACCAGTCATTGATGCTTTCGATGAAATCATTTAGGCGTGGTTATCAACATAAAAATATCACACAGCTCCCTACAATTACCCGTCCCGCCACGCCTCTACCATATGTTTCTTGTCCTCAGGATGTCATCGAGTACAGGAAGAAGCTGCGGCCGCTGCGGGTGCGTATGCTGGACGGCACTGTCAAGACGATGCTGGTCGACGACTCCCAGATCGTCAGCAACCTCATGGTCACCATCTGCACAAAGATCGGTGAGTTAGCCGAGCACGGATGGCGCTCGTCCGGCTCGTGGGAGACCGTGGCTGGGCTGGTTGGGGGTATGTGGATCATGCAGCGGATGCTGGATGAGCCGCTGTGGGTATTTGTCGGTTCCGTGGGACCTAGTTATCCTAATAGCATGTGCATCTGTGATGCCATGTCTGTTCAGCTGTATATTCCAGTCATGGATGAGATAATAATGGATTGGTGTCTCCGCAGTTTTTGGCGACATTGAGCTCAGGCCTGCCATCTAGCGGGAGAATTGTCGTAAGTTAGGAGCAAGCCGAGTGAACGCCGCTGATTAGCATTGTGACACACGGGAGTGTGGTGTAGTAGCAGGCTTGTTGTGCAATTTTTCAAAAGGTTATGTCTTTATATGTCAGTAAAAGCGAAGAAATTAATAGATTTATGTGCAGGGTCAGTAATAAGATAAGCAGTTCCATGTTATTTCTTCATTAAATCGTGAAACAGGGAGTTATTGGAGGCTTCGCCAGCACGTGTCGTTTTCGCTATTTTTCACATGAGTCTTTACTTGGCCTCAGGCCTCAATCAAACAAATTGTCCGATCAAAGAACAAAACTAACTTAAGTACTAATCTATAAGTCTTATGAAAAAGTTAAACGGAATTGCTAACGTCATTGCCGCTCAATATGTCATTCAAGACGCTCTATGAAAAGGACCCAACCAGTGCTGCGTAGTCGATGAAATTTCAGTGACTGGCTCCAACTCCGATTCCGGTATCCCAGTGTACCAAAATTATATTTTAGCTTGGGTGTCAGAGAGGAAAATTATTCCGTAGACAGAGTGAAGGGAGTGGAAAATTGCCGGTAAAGTAAAGCTAACAACAGATGCGAGGGATAAGAGTTGAGTAAAAACAGATTGATAGCATACATTTTCACAAAAAAAATGATAGGATATAGCGTGTAATGTAAGCATCGATATGTTGTTTAAGACCATGCACGACCATGTACGACCATGCCCTTTGCTTTTGACGTTCGGAGTGGAAAATTTATCTTGAAAGGTTGAAGTGAGAGTGGAAAATGGTCTTCATTTGGATGTCGTTTCACACCCAAATCGATTAATTTTGGGTATCCAAATATCGACTCCGACTCCTCCGGGCAGAATTGTCGATTCACACATACTCCGACTGACTCCGACTCTGTAGCCCTGATAAGTCTGTGGAGTCGATGACTTTTCGGTGACGTTCGACTCATACTCCGACTACAGCTTTTAAAAATCAACCGACTCCGAGTCGGAACAGAACCGCTGGCTCTGACTACAACTCCGCAGCCTTGGCCCAAGATAGCCGCCTAAAACAACTTTGATGTGTGATCTTCGACATTGTTAATGTTATTTTAAACAAGGAGTGGAAAAGGGAGACGAAGCCTTCGCCCTTCTCAAACAAGGATCTCCTGTTGTGGATCAATCAACTGCTGGAACAAAAAGGCATAAACACCACGCATCTCATTTCATCGTTTTCCTAACGACTCTGCACCAATGTAAGTAATGATCAATGCAGTGCAGCATCGATGTGACATTTGTTTGCCAAGTTTGAGTGTTATCCGCCCAGCCGTTCTTGAGATATGGAAGCGGCACTCCGCACGTGCGCACGTGCAGTAGCACCCCCATGGTGACACATGGAAATGCATTGGCCACTGGGTGCCTAACTATTGACGAAGTTTTACTGTAATGGGCCCAGTCATTGCGGAGTTACTTTATGTGGAACAATTTCGACACCCCTAAGTTGGCACGTGGCACGTGCCGTAACATTAACTAAGATGAAGAAAATCGGGCGAAATTCGGAGAAGAAGGAATAAGCCTACCAAATGTGCATGACATATTGCCAAACTGCCGTACCATTGTGAGTAAATGACCATATAAAAGGTCTTGTACAAGCCGGTGGGACTGGGCGTTTCAATACACACCGTCTTACGCATTTTATTTTCGTTATTACCTAAAGGCTGTTTGACGTTTTTGGCTTTCAAGCATTTAAGACATTTTTGTCGCCTCGGGTCCAGTAAGATTACCTCCAACTCGTGGAAATATGCACTTCAAGCCAACTAACACACCACACCCACGTGTGTCATAATGGTGAGAGATGGCGTTCACTCGGCTTGCTCCTAACTTACGATAATTCTCTCGCTAGATGGCAGGCCTGATCCCAATGTCGCGGATCCCAATGTTAATTTCCACGAGACACCAATCCAGTGTTATATCATCCATGTTCCAGTGTAATATCCAAGTAATATCGTTATCCGTGCGTGTTGCGGTTCGGTAGCAGTGACGCTACCAACAAGTACTACCCATCGATTGCAGTATGTGTGCACGTGTCTTGCGTTATTTGTGTCAGTAAATGTCTAATTGAGTATCAGTCAGTCTCAACGTTTGTTACGGAGCGAGCGAAGCGAGCGTAGTCTTTCCTTAGATTAACGGAAATTTCTGAGTATGAGCGGCCGGCCGGCCGGCCCCGGCCGGCCGTGCGGACGCTTTTGCGAGGCTTATATCTCAGCAACCACTTGACCGATTTACATGCGGTAATTTTTGTAGGGTAGCTTCATTCCTTCTACCAAGTATTGGACTATTCCCGATGCATGTGGGTGACCCCTTATGCACGTGCCACGTGCAAAACGAAGAGGTGTCAGTTTTGTAATTGTTGCAATATCTCGGTAACTACTTGGCCGATTGCGCTGAAAGTTGGCATGTAGGTAGGCACCCACTAGGCACTGCATATCCATGTGCCAGAGTTGGGGTGCTGCTGCACGTGCGCACGTGCAGGGGTCGTTTCCAGATCTCAAGAACGGCTGGACCGATGGCGCTCAAATTTGGTACACGGTTAGGGACCAGTTAGTAGGGTGCCGTGCACAAGTCAGTTGGGACCCATTCTGCACGTGCGCACGTGCAGCGTGCCGCTTCCAGATCTCGAGAACGGCTAGGCCGATTGTGCTCAAATTTGGCACATCGCTAGAGACCGGTTAGTAGGGTGTAGTGCACAAGTCAGTCGAAGTTACCCCCTCGACATTTCGCACGTGCAAGGCCCACCCTCTCGCTCGCTCCGTTAGTCGCCCCGAAAGGCGTTATACTGGTGTTAGCGTCTGCGTCAGGGTCAGTATCTGCACCGACGTCATTATTGGCTTGATGTCAGTGGCGGACAATTGTGTCAGTATCTGCACAGTATCGGTGTGGTTATCTAGTATCTACGGCTGTGTCGGTAGTCGGTACTGGCACCTGCTCCTGCCATACAGCCGGTATGTCAGCGGCTGTTTTTTTTTTTTTGTGCGGTGTCAGTATCAGTATCAGTATCTGAGCGGTGTACCGTTACCTTTGTCGGTACCGGCACCCACTCCTCCCGTAAAGCCGGTACGTCAGGTGTCGGCGGTGTCAGTATTGGTACCTTTGCGGTGTCAGTGTCAGTATCTGTGTCGGTATTCTATCGGCACCTCCTTCTCTCCTACAGCCGGTATGTCAGTACCGGTATCTGCTCCTCCCATACAGCCGGTAATACAGCCGGTATGTCGGCGGCTGTGAGCGCGGATCGATGGCCGGCCCGCCGGCAGCCGGGACGCCGCCTTCCCGGCGCCTCGCACCCGGTTCGGTTTCAGCTCGGTGCAGAGCCGCCCCCGCCCCCGCCCCCGCCGCCCCCGCCCCGCCCTCGGCTCGGGCAGCTCTGCTGATTATCAGCCGGCTGGCGGTGACTGGTCGGTGATGGGCGCGGAACCACCGATATGTGCTGCCGATGGGTGAATGGACGTGGGCTGCGGAATGACGTGCGGCCGCCTGTGGGACGGGGCTGGGCTGGGCTGTGATGTGGGGCGGGCTGTGGGACGAAGCCGGGCTGTGATGTAGGATGGGGCTGGGCTGTGACGTGGGTCGCGCTGTACTGAACTGTGGACGGACTGTACTGTGATTTGGACAGGGTTGTGCTGTGATGTGATGTGATGTGATGTGATGTGTGGCAGGATTTATCCATTTATCCGTGATGTTAGACACAGGCCTATGCTGTTATGTGCGATAATGGTAGGGCCGACTGATACTAGGCGGAAGGAAAGTTCGAGACAGATGGATTGATTCTGGATGGTAATCGGAGGTCGTGGGATATGACTGTGGATGCAGCGGGCACAAATTCATAAAACAGCTGAGCAGAAACAATCATGCACCTCTCACTTAATGAATTGCACTGCTCGGTGATAATTAGTGGTGCCATGTTTCAACGCTGCGCTGCGCTGCGCTTCTGCGGCCTCAGCGAGCACATCTGACACATCTGTCTCTCTCCGGCAGGCATCATCAACCACGAGGAGTACTCCTTGATCCGGGAGAAGGAGGAGGAGGAGCAGGAGAACGTCAAGCCCAACTTCGGCACGCTCACGCTGCGCCGCAAGAAGGCCTCCGACGACCGCACTGTCGACGCCAAGATGGAGTCCCTCAAGAAGAAGCTCAAGACCGACGACGAACGTGAGCAGCCGACGGAGAGAGGAGAGAGGGAGGGAGAGAGGAGGGAGCGGGAGAAATGAGGGAGACGAGCAGAAGTGATGGCACGAGCGTGCCTGATTGCCGCTTGTTGGAACGTAATCGGATCAGCGCGCTCAGGGTTCGGATGGCAGCCGGCAGAATATTTGGCGGCCCTCGGAGATAGCAATTAGAGGCGTATATTGCTGATGAAAAATCCGCGGCCTCCGATGCATTCACTCATTGATTTGCTGCTAAAATGTCGCTGCTTTCCGTATAAACTGGAGCGGCGGCCGCGCAGTTTTACAGCCCACATTTCCTGACGGCGCGTTGATTGCAATCAGCCGGCCGGTGCCGCTCTCGTTATCAGCGCTGTTAGCTGGCTCGCCGCTCGGTAATACTCCGGCCGACCTGGCAGACCCCAGGCGTGCGCGGTGCTGCCGCGGGGCGTTAGCAGGCAGATGCCGGGGTGTTAGCGGCCTGCGCCGGGCGGCTGCCGAGTCTGGTGACGGTGGGAGCTGCCCTCAGATGGCTGCTGCTGATAGTGGTGCCGCCGCCGAGGGGCTGTGTGTGTCCCGTCCCAGCGTTCACTGAGGGGACCGCGCCCATTGCAGTCCAGCGCCGGAATTTATGTACCGAGGGCTGCTCACTGTGGTGTCATTTACTCCAGGAATACCAAGAAGAATAGCAAAGCATCACCGCGAAGTGTGATCTATGAATGGCCAATTGACCACATTTGGCAAGTGTAGGTCCCTTTGGGTATTGCCCAGGCCATGTAACTGCCTTATGAAATGCGTATTTCCATCACTTTTTATGTCACGTATAATGATGCGTATGAATGCCTTATTTCCGGCCAACCTGTGTCTTATTTTGCTCGTTTTTGACGCTCTGCCGTGCTTTCTGTGCCTCAGTGGGGTGGGTGGACCACAGCAAAACCCTCCGTGAACAGGGGGTGGACGAAAACGAAACGCTGCTGCTGCGACGCAAGTTCTTCTTCTCTGACCAGAATATCGACGGCCGCGACCCGGTCCAGCTCAACCTGCTCTACGTTCAGGTGAGACTGCAGACCTTTGAAGCGTGCTCCGCCGTTCATTCGCGCTGTTCGCCTGTCTCCTTTGTTCTTTTCCACTATCCACTATTCTGTCCCTTGCTCTAGTCACGGTTCTAGTATTTGTCAGTGGTTGTAATTGTTGCGGAGAGTTGATTGGACGACTTAAAACACCAGCCTGTGAAGACCCAAATGACACCTGAGTTCTACATTCCCTTGTCTTTTCCCCGTCGCCCTGGGCTGGCGTTCCCCGTCGTCCTCTGTCTGATACTGGGACAGCTCCACCCTCCTCTGGTGCTCAGTGATCGTCCGGGCGTGTTTGGCATGCCGCTGGCGGCGCTCAAATGACCTGCCGGTCGCGGCGGCGGCGGCAGCCCCCGTGACCTGGCCGCGGGACCATCTGGTGGCGCCCGGCCGGCCGCCGGCCCCCGCACCGACCGTACCGCACCGTTAAGCCCCAATCCAGCGTGTAAGATTGATGTGTGCGCCACTGTGGCTGGTGGTGGCGCCGGCGTGGCGGCGCCCCCGCCCATAGCCCGGCCCCCACCCCCGGCTGTCAGTTCTGCCCAGACTGGCCATTTTGTGCACATTTGTCTCAGTACTGCTCTGCCTTACCTGCTGCCTTTTCCTCCTGACGAGACATTCAGTCACTGGGACAGCTCAGCCATAGGACAGAACTCGCTATGAAAGAATGAGTTCAGTGCAGGACGTTGGGGCTCATTGCTGCTGCGAATGATCACAATATTAATTTTTCAATACTGGTTAAAGTTACTTGTCTCTCATTTTGTGTCGCATCTCCAATGTTTCAGTCATCTTATTTTTATTTCACTATGCTTCGCGTCCCCGGCTGGTCGTCCCCAGCCTCCACTGACGTGTCGAGTGTATATTCACAGGCCCGTGACGCCATTCTGAACGGCACCCACCCGGTCACCGAGGAGAAGGCGTGCCAGTTCGCCGGCATTCAGTGCCAGATCCAGTTCGGCGACTTTCAGCAGGAGAAGCACAAGAGCGGCTTCCTAGAGTGAGTACGGGGTACGGACGGCCCGGGCGCAGCGGGACGGGTGATACCGGGTCGATAGGCGATTGAAGCCTCACGTGCGGCTGAGCTGGCGCTCGCCGGCCGGCCGAGGGCTGAGCTGCAGCTGCTGCGGGGGCTGCCGGCTGCCGCCGGGAGCTGGCGCAGCTGGGATCGGAGCTCGGCGCCGCTCAGTAATCGCCCTGTGTCCGGGAACGGCTTAATTCCACTCCTGTGATGAGCTTTAGTGGAGTTGACGCCGTAAAATTTGATGGCCAACACGGCTCCGCAGGTCTTCCTTTTGTTAAATGTGAGGGTAATGGACTGCATGGACCTTAGAAACCCGCACATCTGCAATAATGCCTGTATTAATAGTTGGTCTGGAGACTCGCAGTGGGGTCCGATATTGGCTTTGCCCGGGACGGGCTGGTAGTTCTGACCCACAGCCTGGCTCTATCCCAACTTCGTTGCTGGGTGGTTAGCTGTCTGTAAATTACACAAGTTTTCGCTTGGGACCAAAGTCAGTAGATGAACCAACTGTTGCCACCTCGGTTCTCTAGCACGCTCCGGTCATTGCTAAGTTGTGTCGCGCCTTACAAGGTCAGTTTTGCGCCCACACTATCTCGCTTATCTGACCGTCCATATTCTCCCCTTTCCGCCAGTCTTCGTGAGTTTGTGCCGCACTACTATGTCAAAACGAAAGGAATTGAGAAGAAGATCTACAGCGAGCACAAAAAGTACGAGGGCAAGAACGAGCTCGACGCCAAGGTCGAGTACGTGAAGGAGGCTCGCGCGCTGCCCACCTATGGCGTCAGCTTCTTCCTTGTCAAAGTGAGTGTGGTCGGCGGCAATATGGGGGCGGCAGACGCTGCCGCGGTGACGCACTCAGTGTCAGTCGTTAGGAGAATGTCGTCAGTTTAGCGGCCGCTGACGGCTCGGCAGCCGGTGTCGGGACCTTCACGGCGCCGCGTCGCAGTTCGCGGTTCCACCCGTGTAAGCTGTGTGCTGCTAGTAAATATGTTGACAGATCGGGACAGCTTCTCAGAGCGATGATCGATGCTCTTCGAAAGCCGTGCTCTGACGTCACATGCGTTTGATATTCAGCGATAACCGCGATTGGGATGGATTCTGCAAATATACGCCGGGTGGAACGTAACGACTCACTTGAAGTAGCTCGCGATCTGCTGAACCGGCGGAGACCTAATTTTTACTCCGGCGACGATGCTGTTAGAGACCATCTGTATTTAGCGTAGACCCTTTATGGCCCGTGACGCTGAGACATGACTGCATGTGCACTGTCTCTGACTAGGAGATATGCTTATCTTTGACACTTACGACTCCTTCCCGTCCACAGGAGAAGCTGAAGGGCCGCAACAAGCTGGTGCCGCGCTTGCTAGGCGTCACCAAGGAGGCCGTGCTGCGACTGGATGAAAAGACCAAGGAGATTCTCAAGGAGTGGCCGCTGACCACTGTCCGCCGGTGGGCGGCCAGTCCCAACACATTCACACTCGGTACGTTTGGAATTGTGAGGGGTGATCTCAGGCCACTGTGCGCCGCTGGGCGGCCAGCCTAAATACTTTCACACTCGGTACGTTTGGCCAGTAAGGAGTGGCCGCTGACCACTGTGCGTCGGTGGGCCGCCAGCCCCAACACATTCACACTCGGTACGTTTGACATTAGTAAGGAGTGGCCGCTGACCTCTGTGCGCCGGTGGGCGGCCAGCCCCAATACTTTCACACTCGGTACGTTTGAATAGAAAAGGACGGATTTTCTTACTTGTGCGCCGCTGGGTCGCCAGACGTCCGAGAACACATTCACACTCGTTACGTTTGGACGTGAAAGAGGTGCTGCTAGGACACTGTGCGACGGTGGGCCATCAGCCCCAACACTTTCACACTCGGTACGTTTGACCAGTAAGGAGTGGCCACTGGCCACTGACCACTGTGCGCCGCGAGGCTGCCGCCTGCCAGTCCCAAAATTGTGTGCTAATGAGGGAGATGTGTCCTTAGGATACTGCGCAACCGCTTGGACAATTCTAGCAGCATGCCGCGCATATTATAGGGTATGTAGGATTATGGTAAATTCGAGGAATTTAGCATAATCCAGGTGTCGCCAGTCGACGTTTTCTGTCCTGACCCTGCGCTTCTCCGTTCACGTGCTGGCTGTCTTCATTTTGCAGCTGGGCTGAGTCACTTGGCCAGTCTTTTTCATCTTCAATCACATTCACACATAGCCATGCTAACATTCCAAAGTACGCCTGTCCAGCGAGGCGCCGCTTTTATTGCTGTGTGACATCTTCTCGTTCGCTCGTTCCTCCATCCCTCCCTGTGACGCCCCCCCCCCCCTTGCTGACTATCCGTCCCTCCGCGCCGTCAGATTTCGGCGACTACGCCGACCAGTACTACTCGGTTCAGACCACGGAGGGAGAGCAGATCTCACAGCTGATCGCCGGCTACATCGACATCATCCTCAAGAAGCAAAAGTCCAAGGACTGGCTGGGCGTCGAGAAGGATGACGATGCCATCATGCTGGAAGAGTCCGTGTCGCCCAACAAGTGAGTCAGGTGGAAGGGGCGGGCTGGAGGGGTCTGAAGGCATGTTGATGCTTTTTTGGAGGATGTACTGGATTGGCTTGTGGAGTTTAAGTGGTCAGAATGAGATGTGGGAATGGTAGCCAACATCGCGTAGAAATGGAGAGAATGACGTGTCAAGATTGAGGTGTAATGTTAAGATCTCTAGGTGTTTTGGGCTAATTTGAATTGTATCCCATTTTTATGCATACACCGTACAAATTTGATATCGAAGGACTGAGCTTGCGCCGTTCGGCTAGCTCTGTTGATGCGTCCAGAAAGCACCGGTGTCGACCAGTCGACCGCTACCAGCCGCCCGCTGCCACGGACTCTGATACACTGTTAACGGCGCCGGCAGTGGCTGCCTCTGACGGACCCGAAATGTGACCGTGATTTGTGGCCCAGTGTGAACCGGGGGGTCAAACAATATTCCCGATCAACCTCAGGCCTTCCCTGCCGACGATGTGCCAGTTTAGGTTTGATGAAAAGGTAGAAACTAGGGAAAGTGGGCGTAGTGACTCGATTATTATCCAACAACTCACAAAGTGTAGACAAAGTTGCACACCGGCATGACTGCAGCGCCGTATTAGATGTGTGGGCCAATGTGTTACATACCCGGCTCCTAACAGCGTGTTCCCGTGTTCCTCCTCTGCCACAGGGCCACCATCATTCAGCAGGGCATGACCAAGATCACCAAGGTGGAGGAGGACTCCATCTCCAAGCCAGGCATCCTCCGGACGGGTGACACTGGTAAGTCTCAAACCGGCAGTCTTTGTGTTAGACCCGCCGCGGCCCGCTAGTGAGACTCTGTTCGGCGGTGACCGGTCGCGTTCACATTGCGTTCCCCCGTTACTGCGGTGGGTTGAGCCTGCGAGTTACGTTGTTCAGTTCACTGCTCAGCCGGCCAGTTGATTTGTTCTGCTGTCAGTTTGTTTGCGGCCGCCCGCCAGCCGCGGGATCACTCTCTGTGTTTGATAGCACGCTCGGTTCGGTTCAGTTCGCTGTTTTGTAGTCGGTCGCCGGTACGGCGGCCGTCTTTGGTTCGGGCACGGATGTGTCGCATGTTGGACCGGCTGATCTGCCGGCTCCGCGGGGTCCCGCTGGTCCCGGTGGGGGCCCCGCGCAGACCTCCTGACCCGCTGACGGTGCCGTCTGTGGCCCAGGACCGAACGTGATGGGCACAGGCCACATGGGTGGAGCACAGCACGGTACCATGAGAGGCCAGGTGAACCTGGCACACGCGCCGCCCATGGTAAGAGCTGACGACGTGCCGACCGGAGCTAACCGCTGTCTAACCCGCCCACCAGAGAAGTGATCCTGGCTGTCCACTCACACCACTAACACGTCTGTCACAGACTAGTAGACTCTGCTCTCTGCCATCGTGAAACCGATCCTGGCTGTCAACTCTGACTCGTATCTCAGACACTGACCGTTTCTACCTGCCTCCGTCCGTCTCTCCGGTACATGGATCGCATATTTCCCTGTCACTCCAGTCGATTTTCACTCCTGGGAAGTGTTGGCCGGCTCTTCCATTTGTTCACCCCACATCACACCATCACTACCACCTTCCACCTACCGCCATCCGAGCTGCTAGGCTCTCAGAGTCCTGGCGCCGTCTCTGCTCACCTCTGATCCACCCGGCCCGGCCGAGCTGAGCTGGCCGCTGCCTCGGTCGAGGGTGTAACCCAACACCAGATCGGCCGGAGGGCCAGCGGGCACGGTCGGACGGCGGCAGCTAAGGAGCCGCCGTGGCCAACCGGACGGACGGCGTCCGCCGAGCCCCGAGGCCGGCTGTCGGCGATCTCGACCGCTCCTTGTGGCGTGCATTTGGTCCCACTTGAGGGTTATGAGCTCGGCCGGCCTGGCGAGTTCCTGGAGCCGTGCTGTCGGCCACCGGTCCTGTCCCGAGGCTGGGCTCAGTATCCCGAGTGCTTCCAGTACTTCCTGGCTGGTTTTGTCCGTCTTGGCTTGTCCTGCCCTGCTCTGTATCCCATTGAACCGCTCCAGACCTTTCCAAACAACCTTTTATAGCCTTTACCAACTCAAGTGACTAACATGGGTTGGGACGTGTGCCATCTCTGGTGCTTTGGGTGATTGTGTCTTTCTGTCCCTTTTCTAGCCTCCAAAGGATACTTCTTTAGGATTTGTGTAGGTACATAAATATATCGCTCCTGTCATGCCATCAAATAGACTAATGGGTTGATGCAAGTGCATGTCATTCCAATTCAGTTAGTAGTTTATTTCATTTCGATGCATGACCAGTAATCACCGTACATTTCGTTTTATTCTGCACGATTTGGACAAGTGTCCCATCTTGGCGTTCCATTACAGACATTTTCATAAAATGTAACCAACTGACTGTTGGCTGCACGAGCTGTTTTAACCGTCATTAACTAACTTTGTAGCATCAAATAGCCACCTACGTGCCTGTAGGCTGGCTGACAGCTGTTGGCTGATTGTAAATATGTGGCGCCCGCCATGAGACTGGCTGTGGGCTGTTCACTGGCTGTAGACTGCTGGCTGACTGTGGGCTGATCGTTGACTATGGGCTACGCGTTGACTGTCTGGGCTATGTGTGATTGTTGGCCGTTCGCTGGTTGAGACTGACTGCGCTAACTGACTGTGGCACCACATCTGTGTTCGATGAGTGTGGCTGTGCTGTGAGTGTGGATGCCATCCAGCCGTGATGTGCTCTGTTCACATTGCACCTCTAATGGTCCATCACTGTTGACCGGCCGTGACTGCTGCCTGCGCTGCCGCTAGTGACTGAGCCGGGCGGCTGCGACCCCCTATCGACAGGGATGTCGCGACCGCCGCCAGGCGACTATGTCTGCTACTATATAGGCTACATATGTAGGCTGTGCAGTGTCCATGCTTCGAATCTGCCAGGACTGTACTGATGGGATAGAGCTAACAATCCTCAGGGCCGTGCCATGTCCTGCTGGTACTCCATGATTCAAGCTACTGCGCCTGAAGCTCAACTGTATTTGCTGTGGAAGGATCACCGTGTGTAGCTGTAGAGTCTCACAGTCTCTGTCTGTGTCCACTATGTGCTGTAGTCCCCGTCCCCACCCACCCTCTGACGGTTCCCCTACCCACCCTCTCAGGCGCAGCAGCCCCAGATCACGTCCGTGGGCTCTGAGCCGCAGCGCGCGCTGGTCAACACCATTGTGGTGGGACACGAGGCCATCGACTCGGCACGCCGCCAGCTCGACACCAGGATGCAATTCCCCGAGCTGGGAACCGACCCGGTTAGTGGACTCTGCCCCGCAGAGGGAGGGAGACAACATTACTTTGGGCAGAGGAAGGGAGAGGGGCCAGAGGAGAGTGAAGGTAGAGGGTGACCGTGTGGCCGAGAGCTGGGAGGAAGGGGAGGGGAAGGGTGTATCGTGATTGTGGGTAACTGTAGTGACATGAGAATCTGATGAATGCCAGTCGTTGGTTACGTATGCAGGGTTATGCGAGTGAAAGTTCTACGACTGGCTTTGACGCTCAGATGATGTTGCTAAGTTGTTAATGTGACTGTGATGGGGCTTTATAACGAGCAACCCATCTTGAGCAATCCTGCCTCTCGTGTGTCGTGCAATGGGCGCAAGTTGTCGACGCCCCCTAAAACTCCTATAAACAAACCTGTGTTGTTCACCCATGTCTCATGCTCACCCAGCCCACCCACCTCACCCTATGACCCTCCTTCCCTCCCACAGGCATCGCTCAAGTGGAAGGAGACCACCATGGACACCAACAAGCAGAGCGTGTCGTCGCAGCTGGCGGCCATGAACGCGGCCACGGCCCAGGTGGTGACCCTCACCTCCGGGCCACAGGAGGACGTCGATCACACGGCCGTCGGTACGTGTCGAGTCGCGACGTTTCCAGTGATGCAGAAGGGTGCAGAGAAGGCGGCGGAGGGTGTGGGAGGGGATGAGAGGCGTTATGGAGCGAGTGTGCTGAGCGGTGCGGTCGGTGGTTCTGGCGTAGAGAGGCGTGATGGTATAGATGGCTGGAACAGTGCTGGTACGGGTGATAGAAGAGCTGTAATGGGTAGAGACGGGCGGCTGTCACCCAGTCCCAGCGCTCCCACTCCTGACAGTCCTGTGGGCAGGCGGACTGAGCTGAGCAGTAGCGGTAGCAGTAGCTGCGGTAGCGCAGAGACGTGTATAGCGAGAACTCCGCCGCTGGCTACGAGAGCAGTGGCTGAGGTGCAGCCCACGAGTGAACTAGGAGGGGAGAGGAGTCAGAACTACCTCAGCGGGTTTCGGAGCGACACGGGACGGCCTTCTGTGTCCTCTAGTAGTATCGGAGCAGGGTTTCAGCGATATAGAACCCGATACGGCAGCGGCGGCAGCGCGGTATTGGACTCGCGGGTCGGGAGGGGCGGCCGCCGGCCGGCGCGGGTCTATGAGGAGACGGAGTACATTGAGCACATCTGGCCGAGCACCGCGGCCCGGCCGCCGCCGTCGCCCCGGGTCCGGCCGGCGGGGGGCCGGCGCGGCTGCACAAGGGGCTGGTCAGAGGAGCCCGAGCGATGCCGCTGGATGGAGAGGGGTCGAGATGCCAGGGCCTGGTCAGAGGAGGGCGCTGCTATCACAGAGAACAGGACCTGCTCTCAGGAGAGTCGTGAGGTCGAGAGGGAAGGAGCAGCTTCTACCGACGGGCTTGCACAAAGTGGATACAACTCTAGCTCAGAAATCCTTCATAATTCTAAAGCCTGTTACGATAAAAATCAGCATATTAAAATAAACGGAACCCGCTCAAAAGTATCTTCCGAATTTGGGAATCAGATAGCCATTGATTCTAGTTGTACACTCAACCAAAGCAGCATCGAACCAGATAGCGGCAGCATAACTCATGAGCGTACCAAAACCAGCCCCTTGCCCAGGCCCAGAACGTTGCGGGCTAACTCTGAGGGTGTACAGACCCTGCGTCCATTACCCGGCAGCCAGTCTCCGAGCGGTCCTCGCCGGCCGCGGGCGGGCAGCGCGAGTGCGGCCGGCTGTCCCGACTGGACCCGCTCTAGCGAGCTGGCCCGGCGGGTGTTCCAAGAGGCTCTCCAGCTGCAGGATCAGCGGCGGGGACAGCTTCCGGCCGGCAGTAGCGAGCTGAAGGAGACGAGCGCAGATAGGCAGAGCGACCGGGGGCGGTGGAAAGGCGGGGATTCCGGAAAGACTGGAGGCAGCAGAGACTGCACAGAAAGCCAGACGAATGACAGTTTCGATGTCAAATTTACTGAGCGCAATGGAGATGCCAAACAAGCTAGGGAGTTGGGTGACGTTAGAGTTTCTAAAACCGAGTGGGATCTCTTGGAAAAGAGCCTGCCAGGCGGCGAGGAGAGGCCGCGGGACGCTGATCTCGGCGAGCCGGACGCCGTCTCTGAGGGGGAGCTCGGGCCGGCGCTGCACCGCGCCAGGAGCGCCAGCGAGGACCTGCTCTGGGTGGAGGCCGAGGAGGCAGAGGAACTCGCTTGGGTCGAGAGCAGGCTCGTGATGCGCTTTGTGGACGTTGAGCCGAGCGCGTTGCGCTGGCGGCCCGGGGCGGACGGCACGGGGGAGCCACAGGAGCTGACAGGAAAGACGCAGGACCCGCTGGGACTGGGAGTTTTACCGACCGAGGCTGGAACGTCGGCAGAGGCGAGTGGGAGTGCCGAGCGGGGGACGGCGACCGAAGAGGGAAGGACCGCAGAGGTGGATGGGGAGCGGGCGGCGTTAGGGACCCCTGTAGATGGACCGTCGGAAGGGACCCTTCTGAGTGGACCCTCGGCAGGGACCCCTGCGGCAGAACCGGTGGCGCTGGCTGCCGTTCGTCGCTCCCCGCTTGGACCCCACGGCCCGCTGATAGCCGTTCTCGTACTCTGTGTGGCCGCTCTGACAATGCTCTGGCTGGACTGGAGGAGTCGGCAGCGGCGCGCGACGGGGACGGGGCCGCAGGGGGACGGTCTGCTCTAGATTGCGTCCCTATGAGTGCTGGAAGGAATATGTGCCAATGGGCCCAGAAGTGGAGGAACGTTTGGGCCAGCTGTAAAACTACCGAATTATTTGGGCTCAATATGAAAGGATGCAATTATGTCCGCAGTAGCGAGGGTTTACCTGGGTATTGACTATGGAATGAGAGGTGCTGAGTTCATGAAGTGAGTGGTGTGGAGTTTATGCACTATGCAGTATGCAGCCATCCCGTAGTGGAGTTTGCTTAATGAGCGTTGGGGACGCCTTCCGTGGGCTGTATCCGAGTGCTGTGTCGCTTGTGTGCATTGGGTCGCCGCTGGCAGCAATGTAAGAGCTGCAAACTCTGTACCCGGCGTTGTGCTGGTGCTTTATCTCTGGGGCTGCGCCCTTTGGAAGGTACGGGTCTGCCGCTCCCCTGGGTAGCTCTGTGTAGCGTGGTGTGTAAGGGGCCTTCTATTCTCGGCGCCCGCCGCCCGGTCCACCCTTACGGAAGATACGAGTCTGCCGCGGCGTGGCGCCGTCTTACACCCTGTGAGGCTCGGTGTGAGCCTCGTGTTCGGTGCCGCAACTCCGTGTGTGCCGTGCCGGGTCTGCTGCGCCGCTGCGCCGGCCGTGTGAGCTCTCTCTCCAATACACGGCTGGCCGAACGGTGTGTGCGCCTGGGGACGCCGCGCTCAGAGCTGAGCCGCCGACGACGGCCGCGCCGCGCGCTCTGACGGAGCTGCCGGCGGCCGGGGCACCGGTACGTACCGCGCGCGCGGCCCGCCGCTGCCGCCGCTGCCGTGTGCCCTAACCGCCCGGCCGCCCGTCAGAGCGGCGTGCGCCGCCCTCGTCTGCTGTGGCTAAACTCAGGCGCCGAGAGCCGAGCTCCGCCGCTCCCCGCCCTCCTACTAAAGACGTGCGCGGTTTGAATCGGCACCGCCCGTGGCCGCGTGCAGACTCGGCAGACCCGTACAGATCCGTACAGACCCGTACAGACCCGTACAGACCCTTCCGGCCGAGCTGTGTCGCTCTCAGCCACATCCTTTGTCCGAGTGGAGGTGCTCGCTGTGGTATATTTGCGGCATTCATGTGCCTTTTTGTGTGTGCGGGTGCGATAGCTGTTTATGGAGCTTGCCCAAGAGCGGCTTGATTACTGTTTTGGTGGAATGGTTTGTTTAGTGTGTGGAAAATGACTAGCTGAGATGTGACTTGCGCAGTATTATCGCTATTGTGGCAGCTTAGCCAGCTACTTGTCTAAATGGCACCTCTCGCATCCTGGGTTGGTCCCGCCGACTGCGTTTAAAACTTCAAACTGCCTAAACCACCGCCACCATTTCGAGATGGCTAACATTTCATAAGTCGGGCGACAACGACCAAAGCATTCCTGTTGCCATGAAGTCTAAATGCATTGGACAATTTCTAGAGTGTCGTTTAGCCAGGCGGTAAACTGCCGTGTTGATTGTTACTGCATTGAACGTTCAGCCTGTGTACGCTATCCATTTCAAATAAGGCTCTCTGGAGCTCTTCCCCTCCATACGCCTCACCCCTGTAGCTCAGTCTCGATTTATTCGCTACGTTACTCTACCCCGCGCTGACCGCCCTGAACGTCCACAGGCGCGGCCATCTCGACCATCACCACCAACCTGCCGTCGATGACCCGTGGCGTACAGACAATCGCCGCGCTCATGGACGACTCCATGTCGGGCGATCGGCTGATCGGCGCCACGCGGCAGCTGTGTGACGCCTTCAGCGACCTGCTGCAGGCCGCAGAGCCCGAGAAACAGGAGGTGGGTCACCGGGCCGTGCTGGGCTGGGGTAATAGATTGGGAATTCCTCTTCAGCGACCTGCTGCAGGCCGCAGAGCCCGAGAAACAGGAGGTGGGTCGCCGCCGCAGGGCTGGGGAATAGAGCGGGAGGGGAATTCCCTTCAGCGACCTGCTGCAGGCCGCCGAGCCGGAGAAATTGGAGGTGGGCCATTGCCGCAGGGCTGATGGGGAGGGTGTTTGTGGCCGAAAACGATTTCAACTGGTCTACGGCTTCAAAAGGATAGAAATGCCGGGTTTCGATTAGGTTTAACGACTTTTGTGATCTGAGGTAGCTGAAAACAGTTGTCGGAGATAGTGTCTAAGTGCTGCATTGGAGCCTTAGCCTGAATGACTACTTCGAACCAGAAATATAAATTTATCATGCTTGCTCATCAAGCCGATCACAGGGGCAGTAATCAACACCAGTAGGTATCAGCACTGTGTGCGAGCCCCATCGGTCTGACCCTCTCTCCCCGCTCCGTCTCCGCCGAGCAGCCGCGCCAGAACCTGCTGAACGCCGCCTCTCGGGTGGGCGAGGCCTCTGGCGGCGTGCTCACCAACATCGCTGAGGAGACCGAGATCAACACGGAGGTGCAGGATGTGCTGCTCGGCCTGGCCAAGGCCGTCGCCAACTCCACCGCCGCGCTGGTACTCAAGGCCAAAAACGTGGCGTCAACATGTGAGACGGAGGATCAGCAGAACCGCGTGATCGGCGCCGCCACCCAGTGCGCGCTCACCACCTCGCAGCTGGTGGCCATCGCTAAGGTGAGCGGCGTGTGTTGAGACATAAGAAGTTGGGATGTGATTAGGATTTGATTGGGATGTTGACTGGTGGATTCAGGGGCAGGGTAGGATTTTTGAAGGGAACGACGCCATATTATATACCCACCTGACTTGAGTCTTTAGATGTTGGTGGGCGCCGTAGTCACTGCAAAGCCTGCGGTGTGTTCATCATTGTCTCTGTTCACCACCCTTGAACCTTATTTCTGCGATAGAAATTTATGCACCATCCAGACTCCGTCCCTTCCGACTGCACTTATTGTATCGACGCTGGTTTTGTTGTAACTGAAACGCTGTAGTCATTATTTCACACTCGTCCCTTCCATCAAGTAACGTCATCTTCTTGTCTGGCCTCTCCCACGTAGGTGGTGGCCCCGACGATCCAGAACCCGAGCTGCCAGGACCAGCTGATCGAGGCGGCCAAGGAGGTGGCGCGCGCTGTCGAGGCCGTCGTCCAGGAGTGCCAGCTCGGCTGTCAGGATGAGGCCCTGAGCCGCGAACTGGGCACCGCGGCCACCGACGTCACGCGCGCCCTCAACGACCTGCTGAACCATATCAAGTGAGTGGCCGATGGGTGGTTGAGTGGGGAGGGGAGAGGAATGATGCTTTGGGACGGGCTGCTGTATGTCGACAGTGTGTTGTATTTATTGTGTTTTAGGGCTGTCTTGGGCTGTGTTTTGCAATCGTTTGTTTGTTGCCTTAAAAGTCAGCGTTTGAGTATGTAGCCGCCGGCCATGTTGGACTGGCATGCGTTACCAACTGTGTTTGAAGTCTGAACATCTGTGCTGTCGCCCTTGCACACCATGTTACCACACTCTAACCCTCCCCGCCAGACATGGCACCAAGCAGCGTGTCAAGGAGACCACGGACGAGACCTGTGTGGAGACCATCATCACCGTCACGGACAAAATGTTCGCGCAGCCGTCCGATACAAAGGAGATGGTGAACCAGGCGCGCATCCTGGCGCAGGCTACCGCCCAGCTCATCCAGAGCATCAAGGTAGGTGACCGGGCAGGACTCGCGGCCTGGTCGAGCTCAGAGTGTGCCTGGTGGACTGGTCTTTGAGTGCTGGTATGGGGAGTTTGATACGGGGATGTGTGTCTCTGGGATGGGTGTCTTGGTTTGGTGCTGTGGATAATATTAGCGGGCACGGCATGGCAGTGTAACATGGCCCTAACTCTCCCTCGCCGGCTCCTCGATTTGAGGGTGTAGTACCTATGGTAACTGTAATCTACCCTCGGTCCGGCCGACCCGGCACCGTCCGTACTGCGGCGATTCACTAACCCCTCAGACTGTCTCTGGGCTCTGCCGCACTAACTACGGGCAAGCCTCATCTTTGTGTTCGCTGCTCGTGGTACACCTGTATACTAGACTGACAGTAACTCTCATCCCGGCCTGCGTGCGTGTGTGTGTAATAATTAACCCCGCGTGTGGCGCCGAGTCCGACCCACGGCCCTGCTCAGCCATGCGCCACTGTTACAGGAGGAGGCGTATGCGACGCAGCAGGCCGCCGGCCTCTCCCCGGTTAGTGGCTGCCCGATGCGCCGCGCTCGCCGCCATGGCGCTGTGTCTGTCTCACGCACTTTGCATGTCAGCGCCACCGAGCGTAGGGCCGCTGTTAGCTCGCGGCTGACTCGATGCTATGCGAAACGCTGCTTTGCTGCATGGCGACCGCATGGTGAATGAAGCTGGGTCGACGGGGTGTCCCCCTTCCCCGTCGACTCGACTCCGTCTGTGTTTGTTGCTTGAGTTACGCTTAGGAGACGTTTGTTGCTAGCTTCCTCAGGGAGTTAGCTTTCCAGCTAGCCGTCGGTTTAGTCTCCTGCGCCGAGTTTGAGCGCGACCCGGCCCGACCCGGTCTCGATAGCTGCACGTCGCCGCATGTGCCCACCTTATGTAGCCATGGGTATCGCCAGTCCGGTGCGCCTTGGTCCGAGTAGCTACAGTAGCGCCGCCTGACCGCAGCACAGTCGCCAGGGCCGGGCAGGGGAGTCTATCTCTGCTGGCAGCCGGGGATTTCGGTGTCCCTTACAGACAGTAGGTCCACGCTGACTGTTCACTGTGTTCGACCAACCAGCTGCGGCCTGCGCCTTTGTGCTTGTAGCTGCTGGGAATTAGTTTGTGTTAGTACCGCTGCTTTTATAAAGTACACCGACGATAGAGTAGTCAGGCCGAGCGAACGGGTTGAATGAGGACGCCCACGCCACAAATCGTTTTGTTTGATAAACATTTCCAAACAGTTTGTGTGCGATGATATGAGTAACAGGCTCTTCCAGCGTTTTATTTTTAGGAACCGGAGCTTAGTGTCAATATTCAATACTACGAAATTGTTTCCGTGGCCTTGCTTCCGACGTGTTTGTCATCAATGACTTAGTGCATGTAGCCGCCCTGTGCTGTGTTAAACTAGTTTCTTCTTCGAACTATGTTTCCACAGATCTTGTGTGAACATCTGTTCTAATTTGACCCTACCCTTCGGTCTCCAGAGGTCATCTCTGACTTCACCGAGGGTGGGCTTGTCCTGGGTACACTAGAGCCAGAATCAGATGGTCTCTTCTTCCAGCCTAACCCTATCTGACCTAGGCGACCCAGCGGATCCCCTGGTCAGTCTATCGTCAATGGCCCCTCGTCCGATCCACGCCTCTCTCCGACCCCACTGACTCCAGTGTCTCCTTTGTACAGGGACAGGCGGAGACGACGCCCAACCCGTACCCTACTGACTCCCGTGTCTCCTTTGTACAGGGGCAGGCGGAGACGACGCCCAACTCTGACCTCCAGACGCGCCTGCTGAGCGCCGCCAAACAGCTGGCCGACGCCACCGCGCGCATGGTGGCGGTGAGTGACGATCGAGCGACCGGTCGGGGTGTCTGGTCTGTGTGGTCCACGTGGCACCTACTCAGTCTCTAACGGCCAGTTTTGCTTTAAATGAATGGTCTCATTTTGTGGGATGCCCAGAATTCGTCAGGAATGACGTAGTTTTGTGTTTCTCAGACTTTTTCGGTAACACTCATGAGAATGCGATGGCCGTTATGTTAACACTCATGATAATGCGATAGCTGATTCGATAAGATTTTTCAAGCTAAATTTTGATCAATCAACCGCATTTTCATTCACATTTTGGTCCAGCTTTCCATGCTTTCGGCTTCGATCGCCTTTTCAAAGAAGAAATACTGACGGCTCTCGGCTCACTCCTGCAGGCGGCCAAGCAGTGCGCGTCCGACCCCCGTAACGCCGATCAGCAGCAGCGACTGAGGGAGGCGGCCGAGGACCTGCGAACGGCCACCAGCCTGGCTGCGTCTGACGTGCTCCGGAAGAAACTCATCAAACGACTCGAGGTGCGGCGGGGAAGGGAGAGGAAGGGGACATGGGAGGGGCGTGGGAAGGGATGGGAGGGCTAAGAGAGGAAGCGAGGGGAATGTGAGAGGAAAGAGGGGAGAGAAGGGCTCTGAGCTGATGGGACGTCGGGACGGAAGAGACACTTAGATTAGACGAGTTTGATTTTTTTTACCCAATTGATTGAATTGTTAATTTATGTATACTTTCGATGTCGTGTCGGCTGGCGCCCTGATAACGCACCTCTCTTGGAGAAGACCCATAGACCATGTTAGCTGACGTACCTCCCCCTCCTGACAGGACACGGCCAAGCACGCGGCCAGCTCTGCCACGCAGTGTATCGCTGCCGGCCAGGGCGCCGGGCCGTACAACTCGAACCACGCCGTGCAGGACGAGCTGATCTCCGACTGCAGGCAGGTGGCCAACCACATCCCAAACCTGGTGCGCTCCATCCGCGGCACGCTCTCCGAGCCGGACTCGTCCCGCGCGCAGCTCGACCTTCTGCAGGTGAGGGATGGAGGGGAGGAGGGGAAATAGACGGGAGGATGGCAGGGCTGGGTAGGCTTCAGGTAGATGCTAGACGTAGGGAGAAGGGGATGTCACTCTGTTCAGTAGATAGTTGAAATTGATGTTTAGAGGCTTGGCTTTTTTAGCTTTTGAACTGTTAGTGTTACTGAATATCTTGTATCCAGTAACACTGGATATCCAAATCCTTGTATTGATGCACAATATGTTTGATCAACACGCAATGTGAGGGTTGTTTGAAGGCCTTCAGACCAACAGAGACCGTGTGATCCTAGTTTCGCTCATTGTTCGGAATGGTTCGTCTCATTTCAACCCTCCTTTGACAATGGAGCGTCTCATTTCGTCCGGGGAACTAATCGGGCTGACAGCTCCACTATTGATATTCGTGCCGGGAGGTTTAATTTCAAACGGATTAGACGTTCTTGAAGTCTGAGGTCATTTCGCCTGATTTTGGCTAAGCGTCTGATGGGAAATGTGAAGGAATACCGTTATCCCCCGTGTCTCCTGTCAGCGTTCTTGTCATGTTAAATCTTCGTTTTTGCGCTGTTTTGTGGATACAGTTCATTTGCGTGTCATATCCTAATAAACGTATCTTTACAGCAGTCGTCACTGACCGTGGCTGGCGCCCTTTCCGCCCACCCGCCGCCTCAAACGCTCATGACTATCCTCTTGCAGGCGTGCCAGTCGTTTGTACAGCCGAGTACCAAGATGGTGGACAGCGTGCGTCGCGCGCTGCCCACGGTGCAGGACGAGTCGTCGGCGCTGCAGCTCAACAACACCAGCAAACAGTTCAGCGCCGCGCTGGCCGACCTGCAGGTCAGCAGATACAACTGGGTCAGGGACGGCTGGTTTGGTTCCTCCGGGTCGGCAGTCACTGGCGGGTCTGAGACAGTTGGGGCTGGCTGATGGATGGAAAGAGCTGGTCGGCTTGATGTGATGTGATTAAAATATGGTCTTTGCATTGTCGATGGTCTGTTGAATCTCAGCTCACCCCCTACTGACCTGCTGATCCTGCTGACCCCTGCTGTCCGGACCGCAGGCGTCGATGGCTCGCGCCCAGGAGGCCTGCGGCTCGCTGGAGGTGGATGCCGCGCTGGACATGATCCGCGGCCTGGATGACGAGCTGGAGCAGTTCCGGCAGGCGGCCGACGAGCTGCAGCTGCGCCCACTGCCCGGAGACACGGTAAGGGGCGGGAACGGGGACGGAGGGCACATACTGGGATAGGCGGCCGACGAGCTGCAGCTGCGTCCCCTGCCAGGAGACACGGTAAGGGACAGGACAGGACAGGGTACACATACTGAGATAGGCGGCCGACGAGCTGCAGCTGCGCCCACTCCCCGGAGATACGGTAAGGGACAGGGGAGGGACGGGGTACACAACTGAGATAGGCGGCCGACGAGCTGCAGCTGCGCCCACTCCCCGGAGATAGGGTAAGGATGGGACAGGACGAGAGTCGGTCAGGATAGCGTTGTTGATAAAGCATCAGCTACGTTAGAGATAGACCACAATAGTTTGAGTGATAGTCAACAAATAATTTGTCGTTATAAAGCAGCTGCCGAAGATAATGGGTTTCGCTCACACATCTGTGATCTCGATCTTCGGCTCCAATCGTTCTCGTAACACAGTATTACCGGACAGACCCCTGACCTTCTCCCTATGCCGCACACAGCCGGAGCTGGCCGCACACAACCTCAGCGCCTGCAAGAAGACGGTGGGCTCGACGATGACCCAGCTGCTGACGGCTGCCAGCGAGGGTAACGAGGACTACACGGGCCGCGCGGCGCGCGAGACGGCCAACGCCCTGCGCGACTTCACCGGTGCCGTGCGCAGTGTGGCGGCCACCACCGACGACCGCGCCGCACAGCACTCGTGAGTGGCGGGGAGGGAGGGAAGGGCGTAGGCCGGGGAGGGGGTGCGCAGTGTGGCGGCCACCACCGACGACCGCGCCGCCCAGCACTCGTGAGTGACGGGGAGAGAGGGTCGTAGGCCGGGGAGAGGGTGGGATAGGGCGGCCACCACCGACGACCGCGCCGCCCAGCACTCGTGAGTGACGGGGAGGGAGGGGCATAGGACAGGGGAGGGGTGGGTAGGGTGGGGAACGAGGAACGACCACGCCGCGCAGCACTCGTGAGGGACGGGGGCCGATCGGATAAGGGCCAGGGAGGGGCTGTGGTGAAAGCTTGATGCTTTGAAGGGAAGATGCTGTGATGCGTAATGGTAAATTGAGGGTGAGAATGTGGAGAGGCTGAATATAAAGTCGTGGTGGTTATGCTGGGTCAGGTGGATGTGAAGCTAGTTCCTTGGGTTGTTTGCTCACAGTGACCCCAGCTGCATTTGGTTGCGGTGACAAAAGACTGGTTGTATTTGTACCTGATTCTCTGATAATGTGGTAATCGCCTCTTCGTGAATTTAAGTCATTTTGGTTGACCCTGCAGTGTAAAATCATTGATTGATGTTTTTGGTTTTGATTGTTATCCGTCTGTCTGACCCCGCAGTGTGATTGACGCCGGTCACGACGTGATGGGCTCGTCCATTATGTTGATTGAGGAGGTGAAGATCATTGTCACCAACCCGCGCTCGGCAGACAGCCAGCGCAAACTCCAGAACGTCGCCAAGGTTAGTTAGCTTTTATGATATTCGGGCAAAAGCCTGTGGACTGCTAGATATTGCAGCTGCTGTGTTGGGCTCAATATCTGAAGCAGAGCTGTTGTAAGTGAGGTGTAATGAGAAAATGATCGACTAGAGAAGCGAAATGTCGCCGAACCCTAAGCTATACTTATGGGATTTTACTTCTGTGGGATCAGTAGGATCAATAAAGAATCAAAGTGTTCGAAATTACTCACAACTTGGAAAATGTAGCAGCATGGTTAGTGGTTACCGCAGGAAGCCACTGTTCTGTGTGAATAACGGAGTATGGATCTGGCCTAACCGCCGCTCTGACACTTTGCCTTGCCTCCTGTGCACAGGGTGTGAGCCAGGCACTCAACAACACGGTGAACTGTCTGCCTGGCCAGCGGGACGTGGACATTGTGCTCCAGGAGATCACCGAGACCACCACCCGGCTGGAGAGACACCAGTTCCCGCCCGCCAGCAAACCCTACGGGTTAGTTAGAGGGGACGGACGGGACAGCAAACAACATGGGCCAGTGGGAGGGACTGGGCACTGGGCAGCAAACCATACGGCTCAGTCGGTCGGAGGGGACGGGACATGGCTACTTATTGGCTAGTCACAGGGAAGTGACGGGGCAACAAATTATGCGGGTCAGCCGAAGTGGCGGCCAGGAAACCCAACGGGTTCGTGAACGGTGGGTAGAGGTGGTTACTGGTTGGGATGGCGGGTGGTCCTTCTCCTGCGGGAGAGGAGGGAGAAGGACTGTGAGTGGTCGGTGGTCAGAGATCACAGAGATCGTAGCTTTCTGTGAGCGGCATCATGATGATCGATTGTTGCTCATATTGTCAACCTGAGATGCTTGAAAAATGATGACGTAGTTGTATGATGTATGCTGGCTTAGAATTCGGGGCTTAGGCAAATTTTATTTTAAATGTTTGGCTACTAATTTTCACTTCAATTCCTTCGCTCTCTCTTCAGTGAGCTGCAGGCCGACCTGAGCCGCGCCGCCTCCCAGCTCAACGACGTCACCTCTGACGTGGTGCACGGCGCCAAGACGTCTCCGGCACAGCTGGCCGACAGCACCAAACGCTTCGGCGGGGCGTACGGCGACGTGCTCGACGCCGGCATGGGCATGGCCGGCCAGGCCCAGGTAAGAAAGAGGGACCGACCTTAGTGAGGAGTGGACACTGGACAGAGGTCAGGGGTACCTAGGTAAGGGAAGTCTGCGTAAGGTGAGGGATAGTGGTGAGAGGGACCCAAATGAGGGTGAGGGATTATTTTTGTAAGGATGGACCCACGAAAGTGGGATTCTGATGAGGGATATGGGGACAGGGGAGATCCTGATTAGTGTATTTGGCTAAACTCAGGACGTGGCTGGCTAAATGGGAGCTGGAAGGACAGGAAGGATCGCGACTGCCAACAATCGTGTGCCGAGATGTGCAGAGAATAATACTGTCACTCTCAACCGTGCTGTGCTGGGTAACGGCCTGTCATTTGTACGTGACGCTGGCAGTGGCACCGCCACGAATAAAGCCTTAACCCGCCGCCTGTATCGCTCTGCGTCGCGGCGACAGTGAACTGACCCCGCCGTCTGTATCTGTCCACGTTACGGCTGCAGTGGTACCTCAGTTATCTGACCCCGCCGCCTGTGTGCTCCAACAGGATGAGCACAACCGTCAGGAGATCGTCGAGTCGCTCAAGTCGGTCTCGGCCGTCTCCTCCCGACTGCTGAACGCCGCCAAAACTGTCTCGGCCGACCCGAGCGCGCCCAACGCCAAAAACAACCTGACCGCGGCCGCCAGACAGGTGTGTCTACGTCTCTGTCTATTGTTGTCTCCGTTTCCGTCTCCGTCTCCGTTTCTCGCTCAGTCTCCGTGTCTGTCGCTATCTCTTTCCGTTCCTGTCTCCCTTTCTCTGTCTGTCTCCGTCTTCTGTACCTGTCCCCGTTTTGTCTCCGTTACTAGATTGTGGTCTCTATCCCTGTCCCTATCTCTGTTCTACATCGCATGATCAGTTGATACAAACACGTGCCTGCCAGCGGCGTCAGTGTCCTTGAATGACTCATGCTGGTGTTGAAGAATAATTTTGAAAATCAGCTATGGTAGGCGCCATTACTGTATGTGTTATGAATGCATTTACCGCCGATCCACCCCACCCATCATTAGGTATTTTACCACCCAGACTGACCTCTCCGTGTCTGTGAACAGGTGACGGACTCCATCAACAGTCTGGTGAACGTGTGCACGTCGGCGGCGCCTGGCCAGCGCGAGTGTGACAACGCTATCCGCCAGATCCAGAGCCTGCAGCCGCTGCTGGCCAATCCGACCGAGCCCATCAGCGATTGCTCCTACTTTGAGTGCCTCGAGACCGTCATGGACAAGTCCCGCAGTCTGGGTGAGTGACGATTTCAAGCATTCTCGTCTGGGCGACAAGTGGACCGAAAGTGTTGATAACTTCCTAGTCTTTTCCTCAGCCGCCGCTGTACTTCTGTTGACTAGCACTTTACTCTAGCTCAATATTCCCACTCTCCGTCTTCAATATTCCGATTCGCCGTCTCCGAGCTACTTTTATCGTTTCTTTCTCGTTTCCCGTTTTCTCTGCATCAGCCCATGTACGGCCCGCTCTCGCTGCAACGACCCATGCGCCCATCCCTGACTGCTTTGCCCCGCTCCGGCAGGTGACGGTATGACGGGTATCGCCAACCACACGCGTCAGCCGGACCCGGAGCGGTTCGGCCAGTCGGTCGGCTCTGTGTCCGAGTCCATCTGCGGCCTGATTGAGTCGGCCGCCCAGGCCAGCTACCTGATCGGCGTCTCCGATCCGACCTCGGTGGCCGGCCGGCCCGGCCTGGTCGACCAGAGCCAGTTCGGCCGCGCCCGAGAGGCCATCCAGCAGGCGTGCGTGGCGCTGACAGACCGCGCCAGCTCTCAGCAGCAGGTGCTCTCGGCGGCCACCCAGATCGCCAAGCACACGTCTGCGCTGTGCACCAGCTGCCGCGTGGCCAGCGGCAAGTCCACCAACCCGGTGGCCAAGCGGCACTTTGTGCAGGCGGCCAAGGACGTGGCCAACGCCACGGCTGCGCTCGTCAAGGAGATCAAGGAGCTCGATAAGGACTACAGCGACGCCAACCGTGCGCGCTGCGCCCAGGCCACCCGGCCGCTGATCGAGGCAGTGGACAACCTCTGCAGCTTCGCCAACTCGCCAGAGTTTGCGTCCGTGCCGGCCAAAATCTCTGCCAAGGCGCAGCAGGCGCAACAACCGATCGGCGACTCGGGCCGGCGCATTATCGACGGCTCGTGCGCTCTCATCACGGCCGCCAAGTCGCTGGCGGTCAACAGCCGCGACCCGGGACGCTGGCAGGCGCTGGCCTCGCACAGCAAGGACGTCTCAGACTCGATCAAGGCACTGGTGTCGTCGATCCGTGATAAGGCGCCAGGACAGAAGGAGTGCGAGGATAGCATCGAGAAGCTGTCGGCATCTATCCGCGAGCTGGACCAGGCCAGCATGGCGGTGGCCAGTCAGAGCCTGGCACCCCGGCGCGACAACACCCTGCAGGGCTTCAGCGACCGCGCCGAGAACGCCACCAGTCAGGTAAGACCGCTTCGCGAGTGGGCAGTCAGGCCATGGCTGTTGACTTAGGGACTGGTTATACTGAAGCTGAGAGAAAGTGTTTCCAAGAATAGTGAGGAAACCCCGTTGCTCGCCTACACTGTATTCCGCTTAGAACTATAGAATCACTTCAGTCATCCTTTGATTTTTTTTTTTTGGTCCACTTGTAAGCACAATGCGTGCAAGTCATTATCAGTCACTCAGCTCTCTCCTCTATGTGATTCTGCTCTCCCGGTTCGCTCCCCGCCGACTGACCGTGATCCCCTCCCTTGTCCTACAGATTCTGCAGACGGTGGACAAAGTGCGTGCCGCTGCCCGCGGCGAGGCTGAGCGGCTGGGACACGGCGTCACCGCGCTCAGCTCGTTCTTCGAGCCGCTGTGCGCCTCCGTGGTGGGCACCTGCTCGCACATGATCAACACCAAGCAGCAGATGATGCTGATCGAGCAGAGCAAGACGCTGACTGAGTCGGCGCTGCAGCTGCTCTACGCCGCCAAGGAGGGTGGCGGCAACCCCAAGGCGTCGCACATCCACTCGGATATCGACGAGTCGGCGGACACGATGAAGGAGGCGGCCCAGGAGCTGCTGGCCAGTCTCGAGCACCAGGCGGCCAACGCCGGCTTTGTCGACGGCGTGATCGACACCATCAACAAGTCGATGGTGCAGCAGGACTTCACAGACAGCAGGTCCGTGTCTCTGGGTGTGTGTGCACTGGGAAGGTCATGGCGACCGACCCTACGCCTACCGCGGATAATGCTGTTTGGGGCGTGGTGCTAGTGCCTTCCTTGTAACGAGCTAACATATTTTAGCTTAAGTTTGCTATCAGCTTTATGAACAACTGGGGATCTTTAACACATTGACGTGTGAATCGGGATCCTCAGTGTTAATTTTCATTACTTCTTTATAAGATTATTTTTCTTCTGATCCTCATCATTTTTAATGAAGTGATTGTTTGATGTTCATCATAGCAGTTCAGCATGTTGCAGATAACCATGACCTGTATTATACTAACCTCCGCTATCGCTTGCTACCTCTGCAGGGCGTACGGCGACCTGAGTTTCGTCGACTACCAGACGCGTATGGTGCAGAGTGTGAAGGAGATCAGCCGCACATCTCAGGAGATGTCTCAGAAGTCGGCGGCCGACCCGGCGCAGCTGGGACAGCTGGCGGCTAACCTGAGCCACGGCTACAGCCAGCTGGCCTCCGACAGCCGCGGCGCCGTCATGGTGGCCAACAACACCGAAATCAGGTCGGTCGACGGGCCGGGATAGGCGCTCCGAGAGGGTTTAGTGAAGTTTGGAGAAAAAACCCACTAAGGGTAAGCTATCAACACAGCCATCGGCTAACAGCTCTCAACCCAGCTAAGAATCTTTCAGTTAGGTATAATTCCAACTATGTGCCCGGGATGTTCGCAGGTAACTCAAGTGTGCTTCAGTAAGTCTCGACGTATCTCGCTGCTGCAGAGTCTCTGAGGCTGAACTACCAGTCGTACTCCCATCTCCCCTTCGTCCGTTTGTACTTTTCCCACTGTCCCTCTCTCTTGTCCCTGCCCACTTCACCCCCCCCCCCCCATCTGACCTAACTCCCGCTACCTCTCTCTCGGCAGCAACCGCCTGCACTCGTCAGTCCAGGACCTGGGCCAGTCGTGTGTGGGCCTGGTGAAGGCCGGAGGCAGCTGCCAGGCGGCGCCGGCCGACCCGACCGCTCAGAGGGAGGTGCTGGAGGCCAACAAAGTCGTCCAGGATAAGGTAAGGGGCATTCCACGTCAAATCAAACACCGAAATCCGTCATCCCCTTCCATTTTTCTGAAAATGTGTAGGCAGACTGGGCATGGTTCAAAACTGAGTTACGTGTAATATTTTCGAAATTTGATAACGTATCGCCGAGATATAGGTCATCGAATATAGCCAAAAATGCAACACATCATTTTTTTAAATGCTTATAACTCTGGTTCCTTTTCTGGTATCAAAATGATATTAACAGGGTCTTGTAGGCAATTGATAAGGCTTTGATTTTTAATTATAAAATTAAATTGAAGTGACCTTGAAATGCATTTCACCTTGAATTAAAACAGAAAAATTTAAATAGCAAAAAACACGCCACCTTCGATTTGAGTAATATTTACATATTATGTCCGTCACAATGTTCCTAACCATCTGTGAAAAAATTGGAGTGGGCCATTCATAACTTTCGCAGCAAACGCCGTTTTCATGCATCAACATCACGCAACCGCGCGTGACCTTGAAAGACAGAGTCAAGACATGCTTGCTTGTGTACACTTTCTGAAATGAATGATTGCTGATTAGTGATATCCCAAACTCTGCGAGAATGGAAATGCATAGTCATCGTAGTCAAGCATTCACGTTCCATTGTAAAAGTGTCTCAGGCAAACGGTATTTTGCGGTGAATTTTGAGCCGTGTGGAAATGCATCATGAAATAAATTCAACGAAAACAATATCACGCAACGATATCTTCACGTCTTTTGATCTTCACTATACGAAAGAACATACATTTTTGAGTATGTATGGGGAATTTCTAGTTAATCCGATAATAAATATGGCAGTTAGAGTCCTGCTAAGAGTAACATGTCGCCGGCTGAGGCGGGATCGGCCGACGTGGGAAACGCAGCAGTCACAATTTTTTGTTTAAACGTTCATATTTCAATTGTTTACCAACCTATTTTCAGAATTCTTTCACCATAAGATTGCCTGTACATTTCTTAGTCTTCTCACAAAATTTGACGCGAATCGAACGTAATCAGCGGTAAGGAGCGCGATGTAAAGACGGAACCGTTCCGTTCCGTCCCGGCACAGTCTACAATTCAGGCGGCGCGTAGCGGTCGGCGCCGGCTGCCGAGTCGCCGCGGCGACAGTATGTTCACTTTACACCGCTATTACTAGAACAGTTGTGAACCGATTTTCTTATTCCTTGCACGATGAGATGTGCAATTCAATTCTGGACAGGTAGCCATAAGTAATTTCGCATCAATATTATGAGATATTGGCGAAAAACAGGAGGGGTGGGGCGAAATTCACTCTTCCCCCTCCACTGCGCGTGCTAACATACGTTTGCATATGTGCCATTTTCTTCAAAACTTATGAATGGCCCACTCTAATTTTTTCACAGGTTGTTAAGAATATGGTAGGCAATAAAATATATGAAAATGAGCCAAATCGAAGGTGGCGTGTTTTTTGCTATTTCAATTTTTGTGCTTAAGAACAGAGTTAAGCAAATTTCAAGGTCATATATTTAAGTCGATGCAATTCTAAACAAATGCTTAAGAAATTACCTAAACAGTAAGGTTTATTTCATTCAAATCAAACAAGTACAACCAAAGTTATGGTCGTTCAAAAATATAAAGATGCAACATTTTGTAAAAATTTGATGCCCTATATTTAGAAGACCTGTGGTCAGAATGTGCAAAAAAACATCAATGTAACGTCCGGGGCGACACAGGAACTCGCTCACAAATTTATAATGAAATCGCTGATGGTAAGGTGCAAAACAGCCGATTTTTGTTCGATTTGACGTGGAATGCCCCGTAAGCACTAAGCACCGAGCAAGGACAATTAACATCAGAGGAGACTGTGAGGAAAACGCGCTTACGACAAAGTTGGTGGTGATAGGCTTCCTTACACGGCTTACATGGTTACACGGTCATAGATAATGAAGGTATTGTGTAAGCCTCAAAGCTGCATATCGTGATGCGCTGCTTAACTCCTTTCTTTATCACATTTGGAATATGTTTAGTTAGATAGTCGACTGAATTATACAACATACATGCAGAGAGAGAATTGGCCGTATTGTGTGGGAAGCTATGCCGTGGCTTTGTTCTGACAATGTGCTGCTCTTCTTTCGCCAGGTGGCCCAGGTGCTGTCAGCTCTCCAGGCGGGCTCGCGCGGAACACAGGCGTGCATTAACGCCGCCTCCACCGTGTCGGGTATCATCGGCGACCTGGACACTACCATCATGGTGAGGCGCGGGCAGAGGAACGGAGGATGGTGTTAAGTGGGTTTGGGTGAGGTAACTGGGCTGGATGGTCGGATGGTCTGACTAGAGAATAGCTCTTTGACCACATAGAGATGAGTGCGCCGTAAATACATACATACATGCATGCATACCGGCGTATGATTGGGAAATGCATGTCTGGTCAGGGAATACCGTATGTATAAACAGTTAAATTGTGTTCTATGCTGTAATAGACTGTTAAAAAGGTGGCGAAGAACAAGTCACAGCCATACACAGGTTAACCCGCGCCCGGCTGGGGGTCCTGGATTTCCACGCCCTGCTGGGGGGGGGGGGGTGTTTGAACACCCCCCCTTCTAACTCGGCTCCTGGGCCACGTAGCGACACGCGGAAGGCGGCGTTCGAAAGAGCGTCAAAAATAATGAGGAAATCACTTCGGTCAATTTTTTGGTCAGGTCAAAGGTCAGGTCACCAGAGGTCATTGAAGGCAAAATTTCGCCGATTTTCAGGTCAAATGTCGACAATTTCCAAGACGCCAACGCATAACTCAGGAACCAATAGAGCTACAGCGCCGCGGAAAAGCGCATTCGATAGCCCTATTAACGCCCTTTCTGAGTAATTCTCTCAGATTTGACCTAACGTCAACGGTTTTGCCTGCAGGGGGCAAAAACTGCAAAAATAGACGATTTTTCGGAAACAGTTTTTCTGCAATAACTTTTGACCCAAGCCTTGTACGAGCTTACTTTTACCGGCATCGTGTTCCTCTCGTCAAGACGCATCGAATGAACTATAACTTGACCTTGAAAGGTCAACTTGAAAATTTGACCTCAGGTCAAGGTCATGACCTGACCGGAAAGGGCCATGTTGCATATCAGTCGATCCGTATCGTCGAGCTGAACAGAACACATCTAAGGCGTTTTCATCGCTCTAGCATGCCTCTATCAAAAGTTATTTGCGAAAAACTGTTGGATACCATTCGTGACCTAAGATGACCTCAGGGCATAAACAGGGGTCACGGACACCATTTTCATGTTCAGTGTGTCTAAACCACTTGTAATTCAGTGTTTGGGAGTGTTTATAATGTCTTTCGTCCAAAGGAGGCGCATTTCAATTTTCTCCCATTGACTTATAATGGGGAGGTCGCAAAATTGACCTGACCTTAGGTCATCGATATCAAAATTCTGAGATATACATTTTGTACATGCTATTACTCTTAGCAATCGCTGAAAGTTTCAAAGCGATCGGTCACTCGGTGTAGCTATGACAGACATTGAAACTTTTTATGAGGTGAGGTCACTTCAAGTGACCTGGTGACCTGACCTTGAATGACCTTGGTCTGAAATTTTCACAACATGTGTAGAATTGATGTATGATAAGGTGTACCAAAAACGGCGGCGCTCCGCGCCGCCGTTTTTGAGATATTTGCGAAAAACCGCAAGGGGGGGTGTTCAAACACCCCCCCCCCAGCAGGGCGCGGGTTAATGAGGAGTAACTAGCAGCTATACCGACACTATCGCTTTGTGCACTGACCGCCCGTCCGTCCCGCAGTTCGCCACTGCCGGCACCCTACCTGCCGAGAACGAGGAGGACACCTTCTCCGACCACCGCGAGACCATCCTGAAGACGGCCAAGGCGCTGGTCGAGGACACCAAGACGCTGGTGGCCGGCGCGGCCAGCACCCAGGAGCAGCTGGCCTCGGCCGCGCAGAACGCGGTGGCCACAATCCTGCAGCTGGCGGACGTCGTTAAACTGGGCGCCGCCAGCCTGGGCACCGACAACACAGACGCGCAGGTGAGAGAGCGAGGGGATGATCGGTGATGAATGCTTATCGTTCTGACTGAGGGTTAGCTGACGGACGGGATGGATGATCAACTTTACGGCCATTGATTTTTTTTTTCAAATGCTCGAGAAGAAAAGAAACCATCAGCTGTGTCACACGTTATAAGCATTGAGTGAATTTAGTCGGCAGATGTAGACTTTGCGGATGACATGGCGCTCGACCTGTCAGCCCCTGCGGGAGTCCGCTGACCCCTGGCCAGTGCCCCCCCCCCTCCCGCGGCTGACCCATGTCATCCGCTCCCGTCGACAGGTGATGCTAATGAACGCCGTCCGTGACGTGGCCTCGGCCCTCGGCGACCTGATCCACGCCACAAAGTCGGCCGCCGGCAAACCGTCCACCGACCCGGCCATGCTCAACCTCAAGGAGTCGGCCAAGGTGGGTCTGCGGGCGGGACGGGGTGGGCGGCACCCTTCTCGACTAGGTCCGCGGGCCGCAGTCCAATTAATTTCTGGGAGGCAGGAGTTGCTGAAGCCAGCAGGATGGACTTTACGGCGGTGCCTGGTGTTTTTCAGTGATAGGGCTCACCATCGCCATCAGACGGAAATGCTAGGTGGCGGGTGACACGGAAAGAATGTTTGATGGATTGTTATCCTTATTTGCTTCTGAAAAAATCGTAATATTTTAGATATTTTGACGCATATGATGTGTGTCATTACTTGCATTCCATTTTATTTGTTTATCACAATATCGAAACACTTTCCCAAAACGCTGCCTCTAGTAAAAATTCACGTAATTAAATGAAGACATTTTTATTTGAGAGGATCCAGCTCTTTAAAATGGCGGAAAGTATGCTTAATTCATGACTCGCTTTTTTTGCGGGTAAGGCGCTACCAAACTTTGCGAGCCATTTTATCAAAACTTGAAAGTAGTAGTGGGGCACGTAACCAATTTAACATGTTAACATATCATTTGAATTTGTTCGGACTGTGTTGATTAATTATTTTACTCATATCGACGCGGCATGTGTTGAAGCGCGATGTTTTCGAGATGTTGATTGTCATTTGTGACATTAATATTTCCGCCATGAATAACGTTGCTCGTTTGGAAGGCGTAGCTCCGTTAACTGTGTGTATGCCGTTCGATTCCCGGTCCTCTGATGCTATTCCCAAATCCCGTGTCGGCCGCTCTCCCCGTAGTGTCCGTACTGTAGAGACCGCTCATCGCCGACCTTCGTCTCTTCATCTCCCTCTTTTTCTCCTTCTCCTTCTCCCTCTCTTCCTCCCCCTCTCTCCCCCGCCGTTCTGTCGCTCTGTCCGGGGCCGGTGGACTGACGGCCGCTCTCCATCTCTCCTTCTCCTTCCGTCCTTCCTCTCCCTCCCTCTCCCCTGCCGCTCTGTCGCTCTGTCCGGGGCCGGTGGACTGACGGCCGCCCGCTCCCTCCCTCTCCCTCTCCCTCTCCATCTCCCTCTCTCCCTCCCTCTCCCCGCCGCTCTGTCGCTCTGTCCGGGGCCGGTGGACTGACGGCCGCCCGCCCCGGCCCTCTCCCTCCCCCTCCCTCTCTCCCTCTCCCTGCCGCTCTGTCGCTCTGTCCGGGGCCGGTCGACTGACGGCCGCCCGCCCGGCCCGGCCCTCCGTCTGTCTCTCTCGTCCACCGCAGGCCGGCTATGCCTCTGAGTCGGACTACGTGACCGACTGGGCCGTCTCAGATCAGGAGGAGGAGCTCATCCGATTGCTCAGTGTCGAGAACCTCAATCAGCCGCAGCCAGATATTGACAGCGCCAAAATTATCCGCACCTTCTGAGCGGGCCGCCGCCCCGCGCGCGCGAGCAGTCGCTGGGTCCCTCTCACGCTAGTCTATGCGAATCTCACGTCGGGGGTATCGTCTTCGAGTAACGGATGCTAACTTGGAATACTAGCCGTCAGATAAACGGGAAAAGTGTCCAACTGCCGACCGTAAAGTGGTAGCTTGCTGAGTTCAGAGGGGACTAGTCGCCAGGGGTGATGCTGCAGAGTTGGTTTGTCGTTCCGCGCCGGCGGCGCCGCGGTCTCGATGCAGGAGGCGGCTGTGGTCCGCCGTGCCCACCGTTAGATGCGCCAAGTTCGTCGCTTCGAGCTTTAATACACGAATTTTGATAGAGTTCCTGTGTGCTCGGAGGACGCGGAACTTTGTCGGAATCAGAGTGACTGCTAGGTTAGGTTTGAGTCTGAATGACTGTCTGTCGGGTGTTATCCGTAAGGGGCTGTCAGGCTAGGGCTCTTGAGTCCGATCTGAATCGAATCAGACTGCGCAGAGCAGTCGGAGTCAGAGCCAGCGGGGCTGTCAGATCGGACGAGGCCATCAGAGAAGTATCAGGTCAGGTCCCGGAGGCCGGCAGAGATGTCAGGTCAGGTCCCGGAGTCCGACAGAGAGGTCAGGTCAGATCCCGGAGGCGGCGGCGGCGGCTCCCCGGCGCTGGTGGCGGTGCGCGGCTCCCTCTCAGGTAGGACGGCCCCGCAGGGCGCTGGCTGACCCTCTATCTCTATCTGAGACTAACAGGCCGCCGCCGGCCCAGCCTAGACTAGCGCGGTGACCCGCCGAGCTGCCCGCCTGCTCAGCTAACCCGTGTGCCGGCCCGCTCCGCCCGTCTGTCCCCGCCTTTTCCCGCCGCACATCCGCCTTTTCCGGCCTCTCCGTGTGCCTAGCTAGCTTCGCCGACCCACCCACCAGCCATGCGCGCATAGAGCATGACCCTGGTGTCCTTATGTGTTTGTGTGTGCGTGCGCGTGTGTGTGCCGTGTGTCGGTGATGTCCCGTTAGTGCGATGTACCCTGTCGTGTGCGGTGTGTTACCGGCTGCGCCCAACTGGCCGGTCCTGTGTTGTTTGAGCTCCAATCTCTCAACCGGCCTGGGAAAGTACCGGATGTCCAGATAGCCTGACTGAGCAGGTACTGGCTGCCTGTCTGACCACGACTTGCCGACTCTCCTGTTCCATTGCGCTCCTGTCTTGCCCTCTCCTGTTTTGCCCTCTCGGGTGTCCTGTCTCCCTGTCTAGAAGTGGGCGGTCACGCTACTATCTTGTTTTGTGTCCTATCAACATAACCCCCTTTTCAGATCTATCAATAACATCTACTCTTGGAGCTCACTGCCCTCAATCCTTCTAAGCACATGTCTCTCTCTGAGTCTGGATTTATCTTCACGCCAGCCACTGACATGCCCTTTAGCCTCCCTCCCTTTTACTATCTCCTGATGGCTGGCCGCCTCCATCCACCGTTAGTAGTCGCTCCTGCCTCCACTTCACTGCCTGCTGGCCGCGCATTCCCTCTCCCCTACCGGCTTCTGAAGATTCGTTCCTCTACCCTTCTACCGACTCCTGGCTGCTCCCTGCCGCTCCCTTCCCGTCTCCGGTCCTGTCGAACCTCGTCGGCGTCTAACATACCTGCCCTCCACCCGCCTACAGGTGATGGTCACCAACGTCACCTCGCTGCTGAAGACGGTGAAGGTGGTCGAGGACGAGCACAACCGCGGCACGCGCGCCCTCGAGGCCACCGTGGAGGCACTGGCGCAGGAGCTCAAGGCGTTCGACTCGGCCGACCCGCCCAAGGGCAAGGTACTGGAATTGGGTGAGGGGTTTTCACGAGGGGTGAAAAAATAGGCTACTCCCTCTGTAGTATGAGTTTCGTCGCTACCAATCTGATAAAGTGTCAACTAATGTCTTGTAATCGCTAATTATTTGGACATTTCTTGCCCATGGTCCATATTTTTGACCGTTTGTGACTGACCCCACTGATCTTTGACTGATCTCTGACATGTAACCTTACCACTAACCCGTACACCACCGCCGTGCGCCCTCAGGTGACCCCGGAGGAGCTGATCCGTGCCACCAAGCCGGTGACGCAGGCCACGGCGCGCGCCGTGGCCGCCGGTAACAGCTGCCGCCAGGATGACGTCATTGCGGCGGCCAACGCTGGCCGGAAGGCCATCGCTGACATGCTGACCGCCTGCAAGGTACCTGGAAACTACCTTGTATTTATGCTCCACAGTGTCAAACGCTGCTTCCGCAGTCACCGGAACTAGTTTGTGTGTGTAGCAGGTGTAAGTTGCGGTCATATTGCTGCGATCGGGATTTTTGCACGCCAAGTTTAAGCGTTTCCTGATCCTCTGTTAACGCTGTCATTTCCTGTTGTGCGGCGCAGGGCGCGGCGTACAGTGCTGAGTCTGCCGAGCTGAAGACGCGTACGCTGGAGGCGGGTCACAGTATCGCTGCCGAATACCGCCGTCTGCTACAGTGGGTGCTGACCATCCTCAACAAGCCGACCGTGGAGTCGAAGCAGCAGCTGCCGGCTGTCAGTCGCCAGATCGCCCAGTGTGTCACGGAGCTGGTGGCAGCCGCCGAGCAGCTCAAAGGTGGGTCTCACGGGACGGGACGGGGGAGGTGGGGCACTCCGCGGCAGCAGCCGAAGGGACGGCGGACGGCGGGCGCCAGACAGCCGTGAGTCCATGCCAGTGTGACGGTGATTAATCCGGTGCAGGCGTGCGGGCCGTACCGTGGCTCCTGCGTCTGTCCCCCGCTCGACCCCCGCTTTAGACACCGCCCGGCTGCGTGCTTCGTCCCACACACACACAGCTCTAGGGGCTATCTCAGACTGTAGCGCTAAGCAACACCTAGCACTAGACTCGCATAGAGCACTGCACCGTCACCGGCCGGCAGCATTGTCTTCTTGCACCAACCGCACCAGCACCAGTATCGCCTCCCGCACCAACACAGCACTGTCCGCCGCGCCCCGTAGGTAGTGGCTGGACGGCCGGCTAATGTGTGCCGTGTGCCCGTGTTTCACCCGCGTGCCGTCTCTGTGACTACGTGTGTTGGAGAGAGACTGAGGCGGGAGTGATGAACTCAGTCTTTGGACATTGCCGGATATTGCTGCGGCTCAGTCCGCTTGGTATTCCAGCAGCCTAAACTATAGGAAGTTGACGATCTTGTTATTCGATGACACTAAGATCCGAAAACTATACAGTGGTCACCAGCATTGTTGGTCGCTTCATATGATCTGAAATATTCCGAGCAAGGGTTTTCATCCATGCTATGTTTTTAATTATTTTAGCATTAAAAAAACAACAACATTATATCCTGACCAAAACAGAGTTCGTCACCGCGCCTCAGTCTCTGCTCCAGCCCTCCCTGTGTTTGTGTGTCTGTGTGCGGCCGGTCGCGGGCTCGTCTGCCCCTCCCCGGCCCTGTCTGACCGAGCTGTGTGCGCGCAGCTGAGAGCGGCGGTCACTACGGTCTCCATGGTAACGGTGAGTCTGTGTGTGCTCTCTCTGTGTGGCTCCGGATAACCTCCGACTAGACTAGCAGCAGACTAGCAGCAGACTAGCAGCAGACTAGCACCCACCTAGCTCAGTCGACAGAGTGGAGCTGATCTAATTCTTAGGCGGCGGCGCCGACTGCGGGGTAACTGCCTGCGTCTCTCACTGATCTCGCCTGGTTCGAGCGGGCCCGGCGTGGCTCGGCGTGGCTCCCAGACTCTGCCAGTCCTTTGCGGACGCCGATCTCCGCATGGGAATGTCCTTCTTCGCTGGCTGTCTCTCTCTTTCTCTCACCCTCCTCATCTGTCTGCGTGTGCTGTGACTAGCTGAGGGACGGCGGAGGCTCGCTAGAGTCGGACCGACCCGCTCGTGCCTGCACAGTAGTGACCCAGGACGTCTTAACGCTCCTTGTAGAGAACTGATACTGATGCTCGAGCTGATGCTGGGAAGACGAGTGCGTTCGCTGCGTGGAGCGTCTCATCTAGTCAGTGCTTTGGTTCGGCACTGGCCACTGACCCAGCTAATGATTACTTTTTAAGATGTGTGGATTCTTGCCGAGACTAACAGTAGCATGTAGTTGCAAAAAATATTGATGTTGTATGACTTACATAACGTGTCAGGATATTCAGCTCAGTTGGTGGCCTGGAGAGCGGTTTTGCTGAAGTTATGTTTTGACTAAAGTTTACGGCGGTAATGTAAGTTTGATGGTTTGGTCTCGTCGCAAAATGTCTCCCCGGCTCATCAATCATCTCTCCTCTGTCTGTCTCTTCCCACTACTCGCCCGTCGTCCGCCTGTCCCTCTTCAATTGCCCTTCACCTCACCCACCATTCTCAACGCCCACTCAACCCCTCACCAGACGCCCGTTGTCTCTCTTCACCCGCACTTCACCTCACTTCTCTCACCAGTTTCAGCACCCTATCTTGCCCTCCATTCCCAGCTGCATTTTAGCCTGAAATCCTTCCTCACAAGCCCCCAGTCTTCCCTCACCAGTCCGCCCACCCTCGCTGTCTTTGCTGACACTCTTCCCGCCGCCCGCCCGTCCAACAGGCAGTGACTGGGTAGATCCGGACGACCCGTGCGCCATCGCCGAGACAGAGCTGCTCGGCGCCGCCTCCTCCATCGACGCCGCTGCCAAGAAACTGGCCGCCCTCCGTCCCCGGCGGCAGGTCAAGGTAGGTAGCTGAATAGGAGAGCGTAGAAAACTTTTTATCGTTGTTAGATTTACAACCCAGTGAGAAAGCTGCTTTTGTGACGGGTAGTTAAACTATGCATGATGGTGTGCTGACGGAGAAGGGAGCGACAAGTCATCAGGGATTGCCGTGTCTTGAACCGCGTGCGATTTGAAGCACTCACGACAATGTATGCTCATTGCTGGCTGAGTAGCGATATGACGTCTTGTCTTTACCAGGTGCAATGCGTCTGTTTACGGCTCAGACAGTCAGTCGTCCAGAGCTGGCCCGGGAGACCTGCCCCCGGCGGTCAGATATGTTTGATATTCTTGGTTGTGTTTTCAATCAACCAGATATCAGACATATTATTACCGACGGGAGGCGCTGCCTCCGTCCCGGGCCGAGCCACCGGCGCCGTGTCACTGACCTGACTTCTGACCCAGCCGTGACCTGACCTCTGACCCGTGACCCCGTCTGTCGCCACAGGAGGCCGACCAGGATATGAACTTTGACGAGCTGATCCTGGAGTCATGCCAGTCGATCGCGGCGGCCACCTCTGCGCTGGTGAAGGCGGCCTCCTCCGCACAGCGCGAGCTGGTCGACCGGGGAGTGGTGAGTGCGGGGAGAGGGGGACGGAAGGGAGTGGAGAGTCCACGGAAGGGAGTGCGGAGAGTGTGGAGAGGGGGGCGGAGAGTGCGGGGAACAGGGAAGGAGAGGGTGGATATGCGGGTAGGGGAGTAGAAAGGAAGGAGAGATGGCAGTGGTAGGGGTCAGGAAATGCAGGCATCAGGGGCTGGTTTAGAATTTAGATGTCACGGAAGGAGAACTAAGATTACAATCACATATGTGCGCTGTGGACATATTTGTTCTGTGTCAGACCAGAGACTCTGCCGTCCGCTCTCGGCTCTCAACACGGCGTGTTCTGTCCGGGGACGGGGCGGGCTTTTGTATCGTGACTTTCTGTCGCTCTCTGGCGGTGTACTGTGCTGTCGCTCTGTTAGTCCTGCCGTAGGACAATCCTGCCCCGCCTGTGGCGTGCGCTGACGGACACACCCTCCTTCCATCACCGTATCGGGCGGCACCCGCCCGGCTGTCACCATTGTGTTTGGGCTCGTCACTGTCTCTCTCTCTACCGCCGATATGCCGGTCCCACACGGTGACCCGCGCTCAGCCAACAGTCTGTGACGGCTTCGGGGGGACGCGCCCTGTCGCTTCCATTCCGCATCTTCCTAACCAGCCATCCTAAGATAGGTGGCTTATCTTTTACTCAGGACCGGTCTCCCCCAAACCTGCCTCTGCTCCTGTGGGGTATTCCTTTGGGTAGCTCCCCGCGGTAGGCACTTCCCGTCTTTGTCTTTGACATATAGTTCAGCTACCCCAGCCTCCTCATTCAGATCTGACCTGTCTCTCACCTCTGAACTAATTCCGTCCGGCTCTGCAGGTGAGCCAGCGTGCGCACTACTCGAGCGAGGACGGCCAGTGGTCGGAGGGCCTCATCTCTGCGGCACGCACTGTCGCCGTTGCTACCCACAGTCTGTGCCAGGCGGCTAACTCGCTGGTGCAGGGACACTCCTCCGAGGAGATGCTCATCTCCGCCGCCAAACAGGTCAGTCACGGGCTGCGGTCGGCTCCCTCCTGAGAATGATTGGTGTGAAAAGTGGTAGACGTAATGCCAATGTGTTGCTGTATGTTTGTATTTTCCAGTTTCAACGAAGATTATCTTCAAACTTCAAGCTTACAACAAGGCATCCTCTTGCCACCTTTTCCACGTTGTAGCTCCTCTTACATCATACAAGATAATCAGATTACTCGACTTTTGTTGACTTTTGTTTATAATTCCCTGCGTTTAGTATTTTTCTACAGAGCCTGTTTCCTCACACTGACCCGCGTCAGTCTCAGTAACACATCCCTCTCGCCCTGTCCAGGTGGCGGGCTCGACTGCCCAGCTGCTGGTGGCCTGTAAGGTGAAGGCCGACCCCGACTCGGCCGCCACCCGCCGGCTCCAGGAGGCCGGCAACCGCGTCAAAAAGGCCACCGACAACCTGGTGCGCGCCGCACAGCAGGCCATCGAGCAGGACGAGGAGCGCAGCCTGATCCTCAACAAACGGCTCGTCGGCGGACTGGCCCAGGAGCTCGACGCTCAGAGCGACGTGAGTGCCGCCAGGGGGAGTGGTGGATGCTGGTGTGTGGTTTGTGGCACCCAGCACAGGCCGCGGGATTTTGTCATAGTGGCGTGGTTCGACTGTGTCTGTTGAGGCTTTTTTTTTGGCCGAAATTATAAAGCGCTGTCTTTTGCATTCTGTTTTGATATATTTTAATTGACTGACAAAAATTACCTCTATTTGTAGCGAAGTTCCAAGAAAGATTTACTTGCACGATGGAGATTCTGAGCACTGCCCGTCCGCCTGTCGCTTCCTTTGACACGCTGTGACGCTGTCTCGTCTGCTGACCCGCTGTCACGCTCCCCTGTGCCGTCCTCTGCCAGGTGCTGCGGAAGGAGCGAGAACTGGAGGACGCCCGGCTGAAACTGGCCGCCCTGCGCCGCGCCAAGTACGGCGAGGGAGGCGACAGCGAGGGCGAGGGATACCTCAGCGGCTACGACAGCTCCACCAGGTAAGATGAACGGCCGGTCCGCCGAGGTTCATACAATACAACAGTGCTGCCGTGCAAAGGCAAAAGTGATTACGTTAGGTCGAACTGTGAGGCTCGTATCTGACGTAATGACCTCTGACCTGACGTAATCGTTTTTGCATTTGCACGGCAGTTGGCGCCCATGACGCCTAATACTGAGAAGTGGTGAGGCTGGCGCTCAGATCTACAATCGTACTGGTTTTATGGACTCTGTAATAAAGCTTTTGCCATCCTACGTACACATCAATCAAGCATTGTATTGTAATGATTTGGTGTGCCGTCCATGACGTCTGTGCATCATCCGCTTCTCTCCTTTCTCTGCCCCACTGTCGTCCCTCTTTAACTCCTCTCCGTTCTACAGGTACGAGTCCTCTCGGCTGGAGACCTCGCGTCAGGACGCCAACGGGGCGCGGAACATCTACTACACGTCGTCAGCCCACTCGACGCCCCAGTCCACCCCGGGCAACACGCTCAAGAAGACCTCGTACAGCGTGACGCGCGAGTTTCCCGTGAACCAGGACCCGGCCTCGGCACTGGCCGGCGGCCTCTCCAAACTGACCATCGAACGGTCCACCGCCAGGTGAGCTGTCAGGGATTTTAGTGAAGGAGTGGGTTTTCCCACTTCTTCACTAGGCTAGGTGCCGTCATGGTCTGCTGTCTGATTCAGTCTGTGCACTGTCAGATGTACGAGCCAGTCTGTACCCTGTCTTTTGTCCGACTTAGTATTTGCTCAGTTGTAGATATATTGGACATGTATGATATAGTACAGAGCAAGTAGTCTACGAATATAATTTCTTTTTTAGTTGAATCGTAGACTACTTGCGCTCTGTACCATTTGCTCAGTTGTTCGAGTCAGCCTTTGCCCTTTCTATTGTCCGAGTCGGTCTGTGCCCCGTTTGTTGTCTGAGTCGTCTGTGCCCTGCGTGCTATCAACTGTCCGAATCATCAGTTATGTGCCCTGCCTGTTGTCCGCTGCCGCCTAATTCTGATATTCTCTCCCTGTTCAGCCCGCTGGCGGACCGCGGCGCCGGTTCTGAGGCCGAGATGGACAGCTCTATCACAGAAGGACCCAGCTTCTCCGAGTCACTCAAACACTTCAAGAGCTTCGCCGGCGGCCGGTCCGGCAGTCCCGCGAGCAACTTCAACAAGGTGAGGCCGCCGCCCGTCCGTCCACCAGGCTACCTATGCTGGCATTGTGAAGGAACATCCTAACGATGAAGTTGTCTGTTGTATGGTCTGTATTTAGCAATGCACATAGAAATGGGTGAAATAATTAACTGTGTTATGTACTTCAGCTTATGTATTGTATGCTACATCAGCACTACCAATAAAAGCAAGTACCCTATCTTTTCCCACCCGTCATTGAATACCCCTGACCTGCCCTGACCGTGTGCCGGCAGTCGTCGACCAGTCACTACAGTTCGTCGATGACGCGTACCACGGGCGGCGGCGCCGGCGGCGGCGGCGACCCGCTCACCTCGCTGGCCTCTGCCGAGCGGATGCTCAGTCAGAGCTCCCAGCGCGTTGAGAAGACGGTGACAATGACCAACACGAGCCGCTCGTACCGCAGCGGTCAGACCTAGGGGGCGGCGCCGCGCCGCGCCACTGCCCGCCGTACCGCCCCGCCCCCAGGAGGGGGCGGGCCGTCAGGTGCCGCCGCCGAGAGCTTGGGTCGGCTGCGAACGTTCGTGAGCCGCCGCCCGCCGCGCGCGCGTGCGCCTCTGTTGAGAGCTGTGTATTGAATGTGCGTGAGTGATCCTGCGTGCCTATATGACCACTATAACATGTGTCGCGCCGCGCTGCGCGCCGCCCGCTTGTGTGCGAGTCAGCGTTCAACATATCAACTAGCGACGGTCGGAGTGGGCCGCGGAGGGTGCCGGGCCGGCCGGGTCGGTGTGAGGGCCGTGGGCCGTCCGCCGCGCCGCCGGCCCCTCCGCGCGCCGTGTGAATCACCGACCGACTGACCGACTGACCAGACGCCGACTCCGACTCTGACATTAGCGTGTATATTCGCCTGCCCGCCAGCGCCCCATGGCGCCGCGCAATGATAACGCCTTATACACACACACGAGAGCGCCCGCGTAGATTATGTCTAGTATTATAAGCGTTTTATAACAATGGTCTATTTCCGGTTATTGACGGCGTAATTTGGTGTTGTACAAAACTAAGAGGAAATATACTTTTACCCCAGAGTCTGTGTGGGGCGCTGCAGGATTGTGTAGAAGTTCCTTCTCTGACCGACAGATGGCAGGAGCGGCTGCTCGGCGATTGGTCCACCAATTGGGTGACGTCACACCAATCGATGGCCGCAGGGGGAGGGGTGGGGGGAGGGAGGGCGTGTCACCGGGTCCATCCGGCGGACCGGACCGGCGCCGATAACGACTCTATCGATCCCCGGCCGGCGCCGGGCTCCTCCAAATAGGTCTCCCGGTGGCCGCCCCCCCGGGGAGCGGCCAGTGGGAGGCGCTATTTTCGGCGCCGTGTTGATACTCCGGTCACAGGGTAAACCTCTGTGGCGACGGGAGCACAGCGCCCTGATACACAATACCTGACTGGACTGTGGTGAACAACGGGAGGCTGCGGTTTATAGGTGTTGACCACGCCCTCTGCTCTCATTTGGAACGCATATGGAGTCAGCCAGGGCAAAATAATTAACCCGCGCCCAGATGGGGTCTGCCGAGCAACGCGGTCTGATGGGGGGGGGGGGGCATTTTGGCCCCCCCCCCCTCAGATCTCGAGAACCACGCAACATAGCGACAAGCGGTAAACGGTGTTGGATAGCCCCAACGGGGAACTACCTTGTGACCCAATTTCATTGACCTCGGTCAAACCGATGACGTCACAGGTCAGGTCAAAGGTCGAATTTTCACCGTTTACAGGCATTTCAAGAAATGCGTTGTAAAATCGAGTAAAATGCATTTCATTGAAAATCATCGATGGGGAAATGTTCTTCAAACACATATTTTGCTATTTGAGGTCACTGATACCAGGTCAGGTCACAGAGGTCAGGTCACTGGGGGGTCACAATATGAAAGTGTCGTGTGATACATGTTTTATGGTCTATTTTACATGACAAATGCGATTATGTGGGTCAGACAGACTTTTAGGGCCAGCTTAGGTCACGTTTTGGTCAAGGTCAGGTCAAGGTCAGGTCAAGGTCAGGTCAAATTAGGTCAAATTTCAAAGTTGATATTTTTGCATAAAATGGGTATCGATTCGATGCAGCTCGTCACGGGGAGTTCAATGGTGATCTCCGTTTTGCGCTACGAGGTCTAGAATTGCTAAAAATTGAGTTCAACAATTTGACGTCATCAATTTTTAACAGTTTTTTTTGCTATAACTTGGCCAAAAAAAGAGGTATCGATCTAAAATTTGGTATGTATATCGAAGAGCGCTGGGACTATCACATATATTCCGGTTTTTTTCGAAATTCGAAATTTTTTTGGAAATTTTTTGAGTTTTTCTAAAAAAATCATTTTTTTTATTTTTGGGGGTCAAAATCCCAAAATTTCGAAAATTCGAGATAGCAGTTTTGTAGCGCCGTCTTTTCTCTACACAACCGCATAAAGAACTTTAAAATTGCTTGTTAACTGTAGAATTTGTGAGCGTTTAAAGATGTCATGTTTTTTGCTCATTTTTACTCGAACATGACCTCAGTTTGACCTCAATAACTCCTGACCTGAGGTGACCTGTGACTTGAAATTTTGTGTGAAGGTGTCAAATTGATGCCCGGTAAGGTATTAAAAATTTGGCGGCGCTGCGCGCCGCCGTTTTCTCGCTATTTAAGAAAAACCACGGGGGGGGGGGGCCAAAATGGCCCCCCCATCAGGGCGCGGGTTAATATACTATTTGTCAATGTCCATATTGCAATGCTAGGAATAGGTCGCACTAGACATCAGGCGCCGGCTTGAAAGATTTTACCAAATCCAAATTGAATGAATTCACCAAATCCAAAGAAAGGTTCCATCAAATCTTTCCTTTCTTTTCGCAATGTGACACAAGAAGACAAAATTGATCATTCCAACAATCTACGTTAAATCCCTGTATATACGCCAATAGCAATCCAATAGCAACCAAAGTAACGCCTCATTTATGTAAGCTGTGACAGCATAGGTAACAAGCGGCTATCATCTATCGCCCTCCGTCGCGTCGGTGGCACTCAGAGGTGATAGGTGACGTGCAGCTTATCTGTCCGGAGACGCGTCCGGTGGGGCACTGGGTCACAGGGTCCGCTAGCGTGTCCTATCGGGGCGCATCTAGGCCAGTCGGCCGGCTGAAGGTCACGCTCTAGCGATAGGTGCGATTGAGGGGGACGCGCGCCGAGTGGGCGGTGCCACGGACTGCCGGCCGGTCAGGGGTGACGCCGGCCGGCTCTGGGTCGGTCAGGCGGTGTGAAGAGGCTTGACAAAAGCCTCTGTGAGGCTATAGGCAACCGTCTCAGCCCGACGAGCTCAGTATCCCTTTAGTGCGGTTGTGCCGTCATCCGGTAACGTCAAATATCAGTAAATGTCACATCAAACACGTTAGGTATGACCTGACCTACCTGTATTCACACTTTTTACAGCCAAAACAAAACAAAAGAATGGAATGCATACGCCCCATGCGCGTGGGCCCCCGATTATGGGGCAAGCATAGCGCAGTTTTGGCAGGGACGCGGCCCGGCGCGCACACAGCGACACAAACGGCTGCGACCGCGCACAGTCCGAGCGACGGCTCCGGACGGCGGCGGAGACCGGCGCGCCTCGGAGACAGTCGCCGCGCACCGAGAAATAGAACAGGACCAGCACACACGAACCGGGGGGACAGAGAAACAAACGACAGTCGCGCCGCGGCGCCCGAATGACAGCGGCGGCGGCGGCGGAGACAGCGAGGCAAAACGAGCTAGAGCTAGCAGTCAGTCTGGGGCCCATGCACTCCATCGCGGCTCCGATTCGCTCCGAGGCAGGTCACTAGCAGACACTGATGCGAGGCGAGTGAAGTAAGACGTGATAATATTATCCACTCTCTCTCTCTCCGTTGAGCACACGCATAAAATGAGGACCGGTCGACGTCTCGGAGGGGAGGGCAGTTACAACAGTGCGCGTCCACATGCGGGTGACGGCTGCTCGTACTTGGGGAGAGGAGCGACATTCACACTAGATACCCAGATCAGCCTTTTCGGTGGCGAGGATTGGGTGGGAGGAGGCTGGTTCGAACGACGATCGGTGAACGGTCGGCCTGATGGCCCCGCGCGCAGAGTTCAGTACCTGACGAGCGGTGCATATTCAGGGCTCCACTCCTACTTAATTGGAAAATAACGTCAGCCATTGCAGTCTGAGATGATAGATTCGAGATACGAGTGTGTGGAACGATTCTACATCGCCATAGATTCCGGGCCAATAAGAGCCGCGCTGTCGGTCGGTGGATTCGTGTGCGGCCCGCCGCGGTCGCCCCCACCCACCCCCAGCGGTCCGCCGCCCCACACGACCACTGCGCGCGCCTGATCAGCGGGCACAGCTGCCGGACTAGTCGGCCTGTCTGTATGCGGGCGGGCGGCCGGCCGGGCGGAGGGAGGGGGCGGCCGGACCGGCGCGGACCGGGGGTACACAGAGATGGGTCGGACCGCCGACCAACGCAGAGCACACACAATGTCTCAGCTCCTCCCACTAGCCTCCTAAATTTTACTGACTGATTGAATATAAATCAACTAAATTCACCGTACAATGGCCATTACCTAAACACCCACGCGTGACAGGCCGGCCGGTGTCGGCGGGCGCTCGGCGAACCACTGGTACCAGGGCCCGCCGCTAGTCAGCGCCACGGCCGCGCCGCTAGTCGCCCTCCGCCTTCATGCCGCGCACCTGGCCCTCTCGCCGTTGCTGGGGGGGGGGGGAGGGGCGTCAGAACGGAGCCACAGGTGGTGGGGTAGAGGGCGGGAAGAAAAAACAGGTCTTACGAGCGTGCAGGTATGTTTGTACTGCCGTTTGAGGCAATCCAGGTCATATGTGCCCATAAAACAGCATACGCACTAGACCACGCCACGTACGACGTCACGCACACGCCACAACACCCTCCCGATCCCCTTCCCCCATTTCCACTGCCTCCCCTTCCCCCCTGCCCCCATACCGCTCCCTTCCCTCCTGCCCTTCCACACATGGCTACCCCCCTCCTTGCCGCCCGGGAGTCTCTGCAGACGTCTCACCTTGTCCAGGTCGGCCTTGGTCTTATCCTCCAGTTCGCGGATGTCGTCCATCGTCATGCCGTGCCACTTGTCCAGCCAGCAGAACACCTGTCTGTGGTCGGCGGGTAGGGGGCGCCGGTCAGCGGGGCGCATTGGCAGCGGCTCCTACACAACCCGACCGGCTGGCAGCCGGGAGCAGTTCCTACTGTTAGGAAAACAGACGACGACTGGTCAACGCCCTGAGTCAGTGTTAAACATGACAGCATTCTGCACTTACTCAGCGGAATGGCGAGGAAGCTATTTCGGTTCAGGTCTGTTACGCATAAAGGCCATTGTAATTTGAGCAGGCAGATAAAAATGGTCGTAGCATTAAGCTTACTCAGAGGTCATCAAACTTCCCTAAATCCGATTGACCGGACGCGCTCGATGCCGATCAATGCATCCATTTTATTCTACCTAATCAACATCTTCCAATATATGCCTCGTGCCGCAGCACACACTTATTTCCATCTCCCACATCCAGCAAGCCAGCCACATAGTAAGGTGGCGGTGGCGGGTGTCCACCTCCCAGATACAGCTGGCCAATAGCCACAGTAATTAGTTGGCGCCCGGCACGGTACGAACTGGGACAGCCAAACTAGCCCGTCCCGAGTCCCCTCGTCTCTCCCACGGCAGTCGGATCGGCCATCGGCGGTCTATCAGTCCCTAACCCATACCACCCAGTCGTCCTAACATTCTCCCACTGCAGCCCAATCTCCCCTCCCCACGGTAGCCAGTCCCCTCCCCGGCAGCCCAGTCGGCCGCCATTGTACGGGGCGGCACTCTACGAACCCATTCAGCTACCGTCCCTGCCAAGGCTGACTGAATGCGGTGGCAGCGACCGAACCCCGCCGTCGCCAACTGCCCACCCGGTTCCAGCAATCGCGGTAAGTACCGCGCGACTTAACGGCCCACGGCAAACAATACCCAAGTGACGTCATAGCAAACGTCAGAAATGACGTCACGCGTGCAGTGTCAACGCGGCCCGGGT